TTGATGTTTGATCGCCGCCACTTGATAATCATTTGATGTAGACGTAGACGTCAGGCTTATCAGCCACAGCGAAATTGAATTTTATATTTTCAGAAACTCAGGCATGGCGAATGAAGCTAAGTCCAATAAGGACCAAGTCATTGGTAACTGCTCAGAGATCTTGTCAAAGACACAGCCATTCGCCGGAAACCTGACCGAAGTGTATTTGCATCCGATCCAGGTGACCATAGGAATGAAATGCATCCAGCATGCCCCAACAGCGGAGTACCCTGACCGCAACTTTGGCGATCGCGCTTCGACCATAGTAAGCCTAGTAATCAGGCACTACGCAGTGACTTGCGCCCATGAAACTTGAATACAAAGAAACGAGCTTTGATGAAAGGCCACAGAGACTAGTATCATGCAGTCACACACCGAGCGTATTATGGATCGGTATGTCAAAGGAAGGCCATGCAGTCCTAACTTGCAAGCTTGCCCAAGGTTTACAAATTGTTGGAAGTTACCATCGGATGGAGATGAAAACTCACTATAAAAAGCTCAAGAATTCGCTGTATGGAGGCTATCTGCACACAGACAGTATTCCAACGTCGAGAAGAACATGGTCAGGGTATATATATCGAGTTCGGATTTTGTGCTTGACATGATCATTCGGATGAATTGAATATGATGCGATCTTTAGAGCGTGATGCCATAGGAACGACTAGGAAGTTTAGACGCACTGAAGAAGAGTGAAGTTGGGTGTAAGAAAAAATCAAACAGGGCACCTGGGCCATTGGAGAAGATATCGCGATTCATTGATTGCACGACGCTATGCCGCCCTTGATCTGATGCTCAGCGAGGAGACCCCTACGAGTCTGAGAACACATTGGAAATTTTAGTGGATGCGAGCAAGTCTGAGCCAGTTTCGCTTGGGTTCAGATCGGAGACAGCCTACAACCGGCCGGATCTTTCCAGGCTCTTTCCGCAAACGAACATCATCCAATCTCCGATGCCATTGATCTTCCAAATCGGTGTCCTCGAGGCTCGAGGCTATACATGGCTCTGCTTGTTCCAACAGCTCAACATCTTGTTGCTCTTCATTTCTGGGTATTTCAACTTCAAACCTGGAACGCAGTGGTGGGCGATGGCATCGGAGTCTGCAATATATTGCCTGCAGGTGCCCGGGAGATTGTATGATCGGAAACGCTTACGCGACATGGTAATTTCCCTCCTGCGGCATATTATCATTGAAGCGCTCGACGTTACTAAGTTCTAAGTTTGCAGATAACGTACTGGCAGTATCGATAACACCCATAACCTAAATTCCTCTATTCGGACTCGGGTTGATGTGGCATCTTCCCAAGGGCATATTCAAGTTCATCAGACACTTCTCTTATCGACTTCCTGAACCAAGCGGAGACCGGCGAAGACCTCCAGTCGATACTAACTGAAGTAGGTCACCTGTCGTATCTGAGCCATAATGCATCTCTAACTCAACTTCATAACGGCATAATCAAGTTAGGTCGTCAAGCCTCCGTATTCCCGCAGAACATAGTTACATAGACTCGGAGCTCCTGTGCGCCTCGATTGGCATTACGCCCATATAATTAAAAACACGGTTGCTCGTAATCACACGCCGCGCGTCTTGCCTCCTTTCTTCTGCTATGTCGGCCACTGGAGAAGAAAAGGTCCATGGGAGTGGATCTGAAACCTCATCTATCGAACAAGCCGAGATCCACGAGCGTCCGAGAGGATGGAGAGGTCTTTACTACCACCCAGCTACACAGGTCTGCTTGGTAGGCTTCGTGTGCTTTATGTGCCCAGGAATGTTTAACGCCCTCAACGGTCTTGGCGCTGCTGGCCAAGTGGATGCAACTACCAGCGCAAACGCAAATTCTGCTCTCTATGCTACCTTTGCATTCTTCGCTTTTTTTTCTGGGTCAGTCGCTCCCAGTGCTCGGTGTTTGCGATCATCTGATTTGCTCAGCTCTGTGCACAACGTGCTTGGACCTAGAATCTGCCTATTGCTCGGCACGTGGGGGTATTCCTTGTACATTGCGTCATACCTGTACGTTTTTCTTCTACCTGTCTTCAGTCCTCACACAAGATCCAATAGTGCAACGAATATACATCCTGGTGCAGGTGACTTCATTGTCGTCGCTGGAGCCATCTTGGGCGTCTGTGCGGCCTTGATATGGACGGCGGAAGGATCCTTGATGATGGCATACCCGACTGAGGCTCAGAAGGGGACGTTCATTAGTTACTTCTGGGCTATCTTTAACCTAGGAAGTGTCGTCGGCTCCTCGGTGGCCTTCGGGTCGAATTATAACTCCACGGTAAATTATCCTTGCTATATGAGCTGTACGATGTTGAACCACAGAAATCAGGCGAACAAAGTTGGAAATGGAACCTATGTGAGCTCCTCTGTTATTGTGGTGAAAATCTTATGGTTGTTTTGATCATATTACTGAAGATCGTATTTCTGGTCCTCTCCCTTACTGGCGTTGTCTTGCCCCTCTTCCTTGCAGACCCATACAAGATGATACGCACTGATGGAACCAGAGTCGCGCCTATCCGTTACCCTTCTTGGAAAACTGAGTTTATCAGTCTGTTTGTGGCACTGAAAACAGACCCTTGGATTGTCCTCTTGTTTCCTATGTTCTTCGCCAGCAACTATTTCTATACCTGGCGTGAGTCAGACATCACAGGAAAATGACATTGCAAGAGGTTGACATATTTCTCAGAATTCAATGATTATAATGGCGCCCTGTTCAACATTCGCACCCGCAGCCTGAATAACTTTGTCTATTGGACCGCTCAGATCTTTGGCTCATTCTTCATTGGTCACTTTGTTTTGGATTTGAGGCGGTTCCGTAGACGTGTTCGTGCATTCATGGGCTGGTCAATTGTAGTGGTCCTCGTTTTTGCCGTTCATCTATGGTCATACTACTACCAATTGTAAGTCGCAAGTCACGGCCCGCTTTTTGTCCAAACATGACCCTTAACTCCACAGGACTTATACTCGCACATCCGACCCTCCTACAGCCGTCAAGATGGATATCCACGATCCAGGTTACCCTGCACATGTATGGCTCATGATTTTCTATGGTCTCCTCGACTCTATGTGGCAGACAACTGCCTACTGGCTGATGGGCGCTATGTCCAATGACCCTGCAAAGCTCGCCGTGTTCACCGGCTTTTGTAAGTCACATTGAAGTCACGCAATAGCCAGCAGTTCTAATTTTCCCAAGACAAGTGCTTCCAGTCTGCTGGATCGGCTGTTGTCTGGCGCCTCGATGCTGTGCAAAAACCGTAAGCTTTATCATCTTCAGGAAGGTTGTAGACATTGGTTTTTTCCTTCATAGGTATATGGACATTTTCATTTCGACTTGGGTCTTAGCGGCTGCCGGCATGATATGTGCCTTCCCCTTGGTCTACGTTCGCGTAAAAGATTACACGGAGATGGACGATGAGGCTCTGTGAGTTAATTTGTTGCTTTGTTACCTTACGTACTTATGGTTTCCCAGATTGGCCCGCCCAAACGTCGAGAAACTTCCTGAAGCCTCTGAGAGGAGGTAAAGCGGCATGCGTTCGTGCAACAAGAGAGGGTGTATTTATGACACACGAACCTGTAATGTGAATTTTGTTGTTCTTGTATCTTCGAGTATCTGCAGCCGTCTTGCTATCAGGATGAGTCGTACGTTGTACGTATTGATGGGACAAACCAATTCTTAGGCACTGCTAGTAGTGGACAATGTCTTTGCATACTGGTCATCTGGGGTTCTCTTTGAATTGACGACCTATTGGTGATCTCGGTTCGATTCATAACACAGTCGCCCGTACTTGAAATAATTTACAGCTCGGTGGTGGGAATTGTGGGTTGCAGGCCACGGGCGCCGGGTGTCGACCTTGGACTCTCCATGGACGTGTGAGCACTTGAATGCTTTTTACTCTGCTTTACTCAGTACCTGCTTCAAATTCTTACACGGAACATACATAGCACACCTATTCACAATGCAGTGGGGGAACTCTAGGGAGGAGGTCGCAGGGACGCGGAGTCTGCCGGTGTTTGCAGTGTTTGAAACTCGGATGTAGTAGTTATCTCTCTTAGGTTTACGCAGCCATCAGGCTAGCACACCCAAATTCCCTTGATGCAGACTCAGTAGGAATCTATAAACGCTCTTGGAATTCAAGTTTGCAAGGCACGCCTCTTCCTTCCGCCATGTCAACCAGTGAAGAAGAAAATGCAAACAGGAGCGGATCTGACACTTCGGCTGCTCAACAAGCCGAAGTCTTCGAGCATCCCAAGGGATGGAGACGTATAGACTATCACCCAATCACACAGGTCTGTCTAATGGGCTCTGTTTGTTGCATGCGTTCAGGCATATTCAATGCCTTGAGCGGTCTCGGCGCTGGTGGTCGAGTTATGCAACTACCAACGCAAAACGCAAATGCCGCTTACTCTACTTTTTGCTAGGTCAGTCGTGGGCACCGCTCGGTGCATGACGTGCCTGATCCGGTTGAATAAGCCAATGAACATCCACCGTGGTGCAGGTGACTTTTCGTCGTTGCTGGAGCCATCTCAGGAGTCAGGTGCCTGTGTGTTCTTGAAATGAGCAGCGGAAGGATCCTTGACCATGGCATACCCCACCGAAGCTCGGAAGTAGACGTTCATCGGTTATTCCAGGGGAATCTTTAACCGTCGGCTGCGTGGTGGCCGGGACAAACTTTTACTCGATGCTGATCAAGTTCTCATGATTGATTTGATCGTACTTACACAGATCGGATTCCTCATCCCCACTCTCATTGGTGTCTTTGGCTCATCTTCCTTGTAGATCCATACGAGATGATCCGCACTGACAGACGTGTTTATCAATCTTGTTGCGGTCCTGAAGATGTACCCCTGGGTCATCTGTCATCCTGTTACCTATGCTATGTTTTTCGGGAGCATCTAATGCTATACTTAGCGTCAGTCAAACATTACACGGAAATAACGCTGCAGGACGTTGGTGCGCTTTTTTAAAGAATTCGATGACTGTAACAGTGCCTTGATCATCATCCGCACCCGGGGCCGTAGCTCGAAGAACCGGGTGTATTGGACTGCTCAGGTCTTTGGCTCGTTCTTCATCGATGCATTTGAAATGGTCCTGTGCGTTCCTCTGCTGGTCTATTGTAGTCGTCTTTGTTTACCTGAGCATACTTTTATCGAAAGTAAGTCGCTATCTACCTCTTGTCAGACGTGACAGTCAATTTCAAAAGACCTATACTTGCGCCTCAGAGCTCCTCAGAACCTGCTACTGTTGTCAAGATAGATATCAATGACCCCGATTACCCCGCACATGTATGGCTCATGATGTTTCACAGTTTCCTCGACTCCATATGGCAAACAGCTACTGGCTGATGGGTGCTATATCTAATGACCCCGCAAAGTTCAACTTTGCTGGCTTCTGTAAGTTTTCACATCAAAGCCACGTAATAGTTCTTATTCTAATGACCTTCTATTTTCTCAGACAATTGCTTCCAGTCTTCTAGATCTGCTATCGTTTGGCGCCTCGACGCTCTGTGAGGACCATAAGCTTTATTCTTTTCCAAAAGGATGTAAACATTGTTTCTTTAACAGACACATGAACATCTTCATTTCTACTTGAGTCTTAGTCACTGCTGGCATGATGTTCGCCTTCCCTTTGCGTACAGAATCGCACGGAGATTGACGATGAGGCATTGTCAGTTTCTATGTTACCTTGCCTCGTTGCCAATCATTTTTTCTTATTCTCCACCTTGAATCAATCCGATGTCTTTAAGCCCGCTCATGAGAAAGAAAGTGACAAAGTGATGTTAGAGCAAGAATTGTGGATTTAGTGCGCATACGAACATGTATTGGATTTTATACCTTCGAAATTGTTCATGGTTGCTATATGGACTTGTAAGATCTATGGCTTGGTGATTGCAAATTGATTATCAGAAGTATCTGATATCCAACACCACAAATGTACAGATACTAGTGAGTCTCCTGGGTCTGCTGTGGTTGGGTTACTGTTTTAGGAGTGTGCATGCTACGTAGTCACAAGACTCATTACCAATCTCCGAAATCTCCAGTTTCGACAGTGCATTGATGCACCATGTGCTGAGAAAAAGCACGAGAAGGTAAGGGATCGTATTCGGAATGACACGCATGAGAGACTTGTACATGTTCTGCATTCATGTCAAAACCGGTCTACTAGTAGGTATTGGATGCGCCGGTACCTCATCTCTGATATCGGCATCGAGCTACCATTTTTAGACCGGCCGGTGCCCCTTTGGGGTAGTAGGCGGCACTATGTAAAAGTAGGTCTCAGTGCGCCTCACCTCTTTTCGTGATCCCGCGACCTATCATTGTAATGAAATCGTCGATTCATTTCGCGTCTGCTCATGCATACAGTTTACAGTTGCTTCATTACCTGTAGACTGCGCATGGCAGTCCGCTTCGGCCAATGCGGTGTGCAGTAAGTGTGGTGCAATTCCCTTTATTGCCTCGCTTTCCCTCGCCGGCATTGCTTATTTTAGCGCGAGCCGTTCCTTCCAATTGCCTTTGCCACGGGTCTCAATACGCCGCGTGTCGCATGGGTCCTTCATACCACATGAGCGCTTGATAACGCTACGTTATAAGAATCACTGATTCACTGAACTTTGTGATCTTGTTGCCGGTTACATCCTCTAGCTACCATGTCTGACGTGCAAACAGAAATCGAAAAACTTGGTAGTGGCAGCAGCGAGGACTCTGGTTCTCAGCGCGCAGAAATTTTTGAACGTCCGACTGGATGGAGGGGATACTACGAACACCCCATCACACAGGTTTCGCTGTTGGGATTCGTGTGTTTCATGTGCCCCGGCATGTTTAACGCGCTTACTGGTCTCGGAGGTGGAGGCCAAGTCAACTCTACGGACCAAGCCAACGCTAGCGCTACCTTGTACTCGTTTTTTGCGTTTTTTGGCTTCTTTGCCGGGTAAGTCAGGGTCGCCGCTGTCAATTTTAGCTATCTGACTATCATTGTTGCAGTTCGGTTAACAATGTGATTGGTCCCCGACGGACACTAATGCTTGGCACCTGGGGCTACTCGTTGTATATTGCTGCCTTCCTGTAAGATGTCTTGTTATTTGGTCCATAATCACTAAACATCGCCCTTCAGCGCTGTCAACATTCATTCTGGTGCGGGTGCTTTTGTTGTCACAGCCGGTGCTGTCCTTGGCGCCTGTGCGGCTTTTCTTTGGACCGCCCAGGGCTCGATGATGATGTCATACCCCACTGAGGCTCAGAAGGGCATGTTCATCAGTATCTTTTGGGCTATCTTCAACCTTGGAGGGGTTGTCGGGTCTGCTATCTCGTTTGGAAGCAATTTCAACAGTACGGTGGGTGAAGTATTACATTCGCGAATGTGTGGACGCTCATATTCTCCACTGTCAGAGCAACAGCGGTAAGGGATACGATATTGTTATCTCAGCGCGGAACTGACCATTTTTGTTGTGTACAGTTGGCAATGGAACATATGCAAGTCATTAGATCCGCTATTGCCAACAGAAATTGATGGTTCATTAGGTTGGCTTCTTGATCCTGACTCTCATTGGCGTGTTTCTCCCGCTACTCATGGTGGACCCAGACAAAATGATCCGAACGGATGGAACTCGCGTGAACACGGTCCGCCACCCACACTGGAAGACGGAGTTCTTCAGCCTGTTCATAGCCCTGAAGACTGACCCTTGGGTTATACTCCTCTTTCCGATGTTTGCTGCCAGCAATTACTTCTATACCTGGCGTTCGTATATTTCTTCTTAGAACCAGTCTGGTTGCTGATAAGTTATACAGAATTCAATGATTACAATGGCGCAATATTCAACATCCGCGCTCGGGGTCTGAACAACTTTGTGTACTGGACATCACAGATCTTCGGATCCATCTTCATTGGTTACTTTGTCCTTGACCTGAAGAACGTTCGGCGCAGAGTCCGTGCCTTCTATGGCTGGATCCTTGTATTCTTCATGATATTCGTTGTCCATGTCTGGGCATACTTTTACCAAAAGTAAGTCATCTTATCGCACTGCACGTCCGAATTGGCATCAATGCGATCCTTAGGACATATACCCGGGCGGAGGAGAGTCTTAAAGGTGCTTATAAAATCGATATCTTGGATTCAAACTACCCTTCCCATGTCTGGCTCATGATCTTTTATGGCTTCCTGGATTCGATGTGGCAAACATATGCATACTGGCTAATGGGCGCAATGTCGAACGACCCTGCCAAGCTGGCCGTGTTCGCTGGCTTTTGTGCGTATTGACCTTGAATCGGAAGTACGAGTTCGATACTGATCAAGAACCCACACAGACAAGTGCCTGCAATCAGTGGGTGCAGCATCTGTCTGGGCTGCCGATGGTGCTAGTGTCCCGTAAGTTCACTATCCCTCCATTCTGCGAACGAACCGCTGGATTGGTGATTTTAGATACATGAACATTTTCCTGTCGACGTGGTGCCTCACAGTCGCTGGCATGATCTGCGCCGCACCGATGGTGTACCTTCGTGTCACTGACCATACGGATATTGAGGACGAGGTTCTGTGAGTGTCCATGATGACTGATGGACCTGTCGTTGGTGTTGACCTCTATGGCAGGATGCAAGTCGCGGGCGTGGAACCGATTGAGCCCCCAGTAGCTGCAACGACACAGAAGGCATGATATCACGACATCGATGTATTGGTCATGAACGGCTCCCTCTGCTTTGGTTATTATTTTTTTGTTTTCATAGCAGGGTACTTAGCAACAATCAACAACTTGTCTTTAGTTTGTTGCATACTTATTAATTATGGTGAATCTGTGGTAATTGTCATCCCGTCGTGTTGAGATGTTGGTTCCTTGAGACGATGTGTTGTTGTCTCCTGCCTTTAGATGCAAGCTTTGGACACACAGCTAACTTGAGTATGAACTCGCCACTACATTTACATGGCACCGTGTGATCGTGCGGACAAAATGCAGCTACTTATAATTAATTTGTAATGCTCCAATGTAACAACCTTGTAAAAATATTCGTCTATGGCTATCATACATGACCAAGCTGTGGTACCCATCTCAGGCATCAACATCACTTCAGTGGCCACTTATGGCTGGGTGCGTCTGGAGTAAAAAAAAGAAAAGGAAGAAATTTAATGTCAGACCCAAAGGAATCGACGAGCTTTAAACTCGCATTTCATGATCCCCCAACCTTGGTGCCCAAGTACCCCTCACCCTCCGCGCCGTCTCCTTCGCCCTCCTCCCCAGGCTCCTCCCCATCCTCGTCGATAACTCTCTCCCCTTCCTTACCTCGCCGATCGTCGTCACGCTGCATTTCGTCACGCATGACCGCGACGTCCTGGTCAACCTTGGGGGCGACTCTGTCGATCCCGGCCTCTGCAAGGGAGACATGCATGCGGTTCTTGGCAAGGTGAGCAGAGCGCTTCGGGGGGCGCTTGAGCCGGCGACGGGCAACCATAACCGGAACGGAGCATCGCTGATGATCAGATGGAGTGTCAGAATGATAAAATCGCAATGGAGTGATAAGACTAACCTGAATGAGATAGTGTGATGTTGAGCCCAAGAGGATACTATGGAGAGGGTCACGCATTGATTTAGTGGCTTGATGAGACCATTGTGCGCACTTACCCCTTGATCTGACCCAAGCCTCGGGACCCCACAATCAGCATCGTGGGTTCATTATAGTCAACAATATCGAGGAGCATATGGCGCGAGTTTTTCGAGTGCCATGCTTGGCAGGAGACCGTCACGTTCAAGTGCGTGCGTTGTAAGAGCGCCGTTGCTTGACGGACGAGAATATAGGCAAGGCCTTGACGCTATGTGCCGACGTGAGTTGGCAATGAAATTGATATGAGGACTATCTTACTTCCTGTTGAGAACGAAGTCTAGTGGAGCGATCCGCTGGGTTGGGGATCGGTGGGTCAACTGCAGTATGTAAATCAATACAAAATACGAGTACATGTCAAGATGACATTACCTTTAGCCTCGTTTTCGACAACCGTAACGATGAGCCTGTACCATAAATTAATAGTGTACCACGACAAGGGTGAGAACACTTACAGATGATCGCCGTCTCGAATCACTGTGCCGATACCCCATTCAACAGCATAACGACTCTCCTCGCTGAGGTCACTAGCGATAATGTACATCCGCCTCCGTCTTTCTGATGCCTCTGGATCGCCTTGAGTCATGGTGATCGTGCACCTATCGCGCTGGAATAGTGGACGAGCAGTCCTCAAAGGAAGAGTTTCATGATGCCGGGACTTCTTTCGCTTCGGGCCCCCACGCTTGCCTTTCATTGAGGTGAGGCTCGACCGATTCAGAGTAGAAGGGAAATAGGGTTCGGGTGGCACTACGACATTGACGCCTTCGCCCAATGGGTCAGGGTCCATAGTGACGTCGTCAGGATCCAGGTCTCCCATTGGCATCTCATGAGCAGCAATAAGCGCATTCTGCTCCGTGTTCCTCTCGGTGACGAAATCAAACATGCCCCCGGCATCGTCACTCCAATCGTCTTCTTCATCTTCTGTCTCTTCTCCAGCGTACTCTGAACCTGAATCCAGATCCTCCGTGAAAGCATTGCGAGGTCGGACGGCAAGTGTGCGTCGTGAAGTGACAGAGTCACAGTCTGATTCCTCAAGGGGAAGAGGAGCGGGAGATGCGTCGCGATCGCGAGGACGGAAACGGCGTAGACTGAAGGGAGATGACGAACGAGCACGAATGGACTCTTTGGAAGCTACGGATGCTGTGTCTTTATCCTTGTCTTTGTCTTTGGTATAAGACGGGAGCACAAAAGACGAGGAGCGGGGCTTCCGTTTGCTTGGGGCGCGTCCACGAGTTTCCTTATCTTTGTCGTCATTCGTCACCGTGCGAGACAAAGAGAGCGCGGAGAGACCGCCCATCATAGAGTTGAAAGATATCTTCCCAAAGGATCCAGGAGTGCGAGACGTCAGTTCAGGTGTTTTCATGGCAGGTGCCAAGGGAGGCGACGTAGCAGAAGACGACGATGCAGCGTTCTGTGGCGAAGTTTGTTCATATTGCTGTAGATGAGAAACAGAGGAGTGAGGGGATGAATGAAAGGGGAGTAAATGAGATAAAGAAGAAACAGAGTTGCGTCTGGGTGTGCTGGGCCGCGAGGTCTTTAAGCCCGTCTCGCAGCACGAGACACCCGAACCTGGGTCTCCAGGATGGAAGGTCTGCTCGCCCTGCTCGCATCCTTCTCTTGGGGACGCCAACCCTATGTCCAAATGAAGCGTTGGTCTGGGCACTTCCTTGGCAGCGTCCTTCTGCGGACCGTACCATGCCAGCCAGCTACGGCGTTTTGAACGCCCGCCAGGCTCAGCAGTAGCAGACATCGTGATGACCAAGACAGGAAAGCCGCAACAATCGAAGTGGTTCGAATCAAACAAAGGGTAGCGCCGCTTACCTGAGCTGCAAGGAGTTTTCTGAAATTGGTGGCTACGTCGTTCGAGACTGATAGCTAGAAAAGGCGAGAGGTTCGTCAGGGTGAAATGCACACAAGAGTGTTTCAGCTTGGCGGACAGCCCATTACTCACCTTTGCTTCTTTTCCCCCGTTCATCCTTGTTCCTGCTCTAGTCTCACCTAGACACCTGATATCAAGTTAGACCCACGAATATGCTTTAACCTCGGGTTTATGGAATGTCTGCTGTTAGATATTCCGCGTTGGTCGCTGGTATGGAAGTTGTCGTTATTATTCGCTATCACTCGGCGGGCAGTGCAAGGGGGATTCCTAAATCAGTAAATCCTACGCACGTGGTCTTCCCGATTCTTACACTTTCAATTTCTCTTGGGTCTTCCATACCATGACACGACTACCTATTGTGTACGTTGCGAGGACCTCTCTGGGATGACGTAACTACGTAATGTATCCGTTGTGGGGACCTCACTGCTTTGACACATTCCTCACAGGCTTGCGTTGGCAACCTTCCCAAAAATTTCCTCCAAGAATGCATCTGAGTTCGGCGATCGACCCAGGAAATCCTGATCCATCACGTGAGCGTCTATCCTTGGATTAGATTGCAAAGATGCGACACACCTCAAGGGAATCCGTTTCATCCCGACTACCTCCCACCAAGAGGATCCTGTCTCTGTAGAGCTTGCCCAAAACAGGGTTCAATGGATCCTTCTTAAAAATCGTTGCATACATGTCCGCGGCAAACACAAGAGAATACGTGTACCTGGTTATCACGTTCGCCCGCCGAGGTGTCAGTTTCGGTCGGTGGCCCATCAGAATACGACGACCGCATGACTCACCCGTAGTAACCTGCATCATAGCCTCCAACGATATGTCCAAAAGTGCCTTGGCCTGGCTGGGCTTTACCCCCTTTCACGAGCGAGATCGATTCACGTAAGTCATTCCAGAGTTTGGTATAATCTGCCGCTTCTGTACAATACTCAGTAAGCCCTGCAATCCAAAATAATAATAACACATGCGCCCAACCTTTGTCCACGTGCACTTTAAGATCGAACTTGGCAAAGAACAGCTGCCGAAGGTAAAACAACCCGACGTTTACGTAGCGACTGTGACAGTCATCCATACTTTCATTCTCGAAAACTTCAAGATGAAACACACCTCCTTATCAGCTTATCTATCAATTCCGGCGACAGCGGCTCCTGTGTCTCGTAGTGGCTAGACATTTTCTCGAGCACTTTAGGCTCCCAGCACCTGCTCCATGCCGTAAGCACTTTTCCAATAGCACATTCTTTCGGGATTGTCCAAAACACGCACCAATTTTCGAGCATTTGCGACGGCGCCTCAACAAAGTCTCTTGCCACGGATGTACCATGGAATCGCGCGTACTTCGTCCGACTCAGTAATCCATGGAAGACATGGCCCATCTCGTGGAAAAATGTTGTCACATCGTCGTGTCGCATTAGAGCGGGCCGCTCAGGAGTTGGCTTTGCAAGGTTCGCCACCATTGCCGTCAACGGGTAGTGATGTTTGCCCGATGGTAGCTCATAGCCCGGGAGAAGGCCCCATACAGCTGCGTGAGAGTACTTTGCAGCTAGAAAATAGAACAAGGTTAAATGAAAATGCAAATACAAATGAGGCTTCGCGCCCTTACCGCGGGGAAACAGATCCAGGTAGCAATATCCTACAAATGCAGATTCATCTTTGGCGTCCTTATCCCACACAGCGAACTGTTGCACTTCTAAAGCAAGGATTTAGACAAGTGAAATTTGTCCAGTACGGTAGGTGCCACGCACCTGGATGCCAGACGTTGTCGTCCTTGATCTCAATGAACTTCACTCCAAGCAGGTCCTGATATATCTTCAAGATCGTGGGAACAACCACGGCGACCGGGAAGTATTCCTTCACAAGAGATTCGTCGAGATCGAGTGTCTTCTCGATATAGAGGCGGTCATAGTACCTGTCATGGTACCGATGAGGGAGATCCTATGGCACTGATGAACGTGATGGTTCACCTGTAGTCCCAGATGTAGAACTCGCCATCAAATGGAAGTCCGCGCTTCTCGTGTTCCTCCTTCTTGAGTCGAAGAAGAATATCGCGCTCCTTTTCTCCGACAGGACGCAGCTTCGCCTCGAGGTCATCCAGGAACTAGGGTGCATATATGTTGGTTCGACAGGGGTAATCAAAAATTTGTCCATCACTCACGTTCTCAGCGTTTTTACCAGACTTGACCATCTTCACTTCTGTGACGTAGTCTGCCCATGTGTCATAGCCAAGCATCGCGGCGATGCGCCGACGGAGGTCAAGAGCTTTCTCAAGCAAAGGCACATTTTGTTTGAGTCGATCTTCATATCCTTCTTGAGCATCGCGTCGCGTGATTGGGTTATGCGCGAATTTGAACTGAAATATTACTCAGGTAAATCAACAGGAGCACTTCATGATGTCACATACGATTGGAGTGATATCTGGTGTCTTGAAAGTGACGTCATAGACTTCCTTCGAACCCTCAGTGCGCTTGTTGTAACCCGAGATGACATCGTTCGGGACTCCATCCAACTCTTCTAGTGTGAACGAGATGTTACCCTACGCATATTTGAGTGGTCATTGTCTCGAATCAAAGCAGACGAGTGGTCTCACATCCTCTTCATTGAAGTTTTTCTACAAACCCTATTAGCATAACGCCTGGACACTGAAAAAACCATCCCTACGCTAAAATCCAAGCAAGCTTGCGAGAGCTCCTTCTTCAACTTCATCAACACCTCGCGCTCCTTCTCAGGAAGTGCAAGACCAGCTCTCTTGCCATCCAACACCATCTTCTCCACGAGCCTACGTTGCTCAGTCGCTCAGCTTCTCCCATTGACCTGATTTGCGCAGATTGGTCTCTGCAGCGGCCTTGGCTTTGAATACATCAAGACGCATAGGACTCCTCGACATCGAAATCCCGCTGAAGAGCTTCCGCTTCATTCGAAGCATCTCGAAGTTCTTTGGAAAGGGAGACATTCTGGTAAAATGCGAGAGGCTCGCAGATGATGAGAGCTTCTGCCTCTGCATTAGCAAGTGGCAGCTAGAGTCGGATGAATGATCGTCTGAGAATGCAAGAGCAACTGATCGGAGACATCACTTACAAAAACCTGCGAAATAAGAGATGATCAGTCCGGCGATGCTGCACAAGACAGGTCACGTACAGTTTTGAAATTGCACTCAGCCTCCGGAAGAGCACCGACTCTGTCGCTGACTGCCTTATTCTGCGCAAGTGCCTGCTTGGTGATACTCAGCACTTCCTCCGGGGTGTGATTCCACCTAGGAGGAGCTTGTGGCGGAGTCAACGAAGCCATGGTAGGATCACTTTCTAATAGCGAAAACGCAAAGCTAGATTTTGTGTGTGGGCTGCTGGAGAACTGTCTTGATGTCTGTAATCGTGAATGTTGGGTTCGTAAGCGGCTCTGTCGGGAGCCAATGGATGTCGAGGATGAATATTGTATCCGTGTGGGGTACTTAGACGCTGGATTGGGGCTATCGATCTGAATATATGCGGTGTGCGTGACCGGCCCAGTATATCCACCGGGATTATGTGCAAGTTGCCAAAAGTGCGAGGATTCTACGTTGCGTAGTTGCGGGAGTCTGGAACGTGATAAAAGACGAGTAGACTTGGAAGACGCAGAGCTTGCACGGGCGATCATTAACCTTGTAAATGAGCCTGGGTTTGAGCAGACCTAAATCAAACTATTCTTTGGCAGTTGCAGTCCACGTAGTACTAAGTGACGGAGTTTCATGGTTGTACTATAATCTGGCGCTAATTATAACTGCAGGCGCCTAAAATAATAAACATCTCTTCAAAAGCGTACGTTCCAGCACAGTCGTAAATACTTGATCGTTCTGTTATCCTGCGCGATATAATGTCACTGAGTTCGTCTCGGATTGTGAGTTTAGCGATCTAACAGCTAACTCATCTACCGTGGAATGTCCCCGTAGCCAGTTTGGGATCAAGCTACTAGTGGAGATCTGCACGACTTGTGAGTTGTCCACAAGTAATCAGAGCTTTGCAACGGTAACCGTAGTAGCATGCGCTATATTCGTTCATCAATCCGCGAGCCTGGGTTTCTGCCTTTTGGCAGGCGGATCATTAACTCAACAATCATATTGCATCCTATTGTTGTAATAAAATTAATCTCGATGGTTCTGGACTACGAAAATCAACGGAAATTAACCCATGTGTGTTGAGCAACCCACCATTTTTTGTATGACTAACAATATCTGAATCAAGCTCGGTGGACTCGGAGGACGGTCGCAGCTCTATAATCCTGTTCGGCCCCTACTGGAGATCCAGGACAAACTGTCACATCGTGCGGGCGTCGGCTTAGACGCAACGAGTATACCTACCAGTGGTGGAAATGCTAAACTTACATCAATTGTGTGTTGTGGCAATGCCCGCCCTGTTCGTGTGCTGCTCCCCTGTGGCCCTGTCATTGAGATCGCGTTCGGTGCCCGCGCGAATTGTTACCCCTGGCCTTGTAGCTTGCAGGATTGTTGTGGGCGCGTGTTTTAAGTTTTGGAGCCGACATTCGCGTCTCAATAGCGCGAATGATGCAGCTAACTGAGTTTACCTACAATGTGCCGTGATGACATAAAATTTGGGCTAAACCTTCTTATATAAGTTATACTACTGACTTCATTCTGGGCATTCGGGTCCCTACTAGATCAGCGACCCTGCTACTTGATACTTAATACACCTTCCTCTGGTGTGATTCTGACAGGTACAGGAGGTCTAATGGACTACTTCGGGTCGGGTTTGCTGCCGGCAGAATGCGTTTCTGACTTTATCGTTTGATTGTGGTCGACACTGATGAATGGTTTTTCCGTTCAAGGGTGAATGCATGTGAATGAGTTGTCTTGACAGGACGTGGCGTTGCGAGCGCTCCGAGACTTGTAATAATTGGATATTCAGTCTGCTCAGTGAAAACTTGACAACATGCCCGATCAGGGCACAAAAAGTATCACTATTTATCCACTCGTAGTACTAGTAGCTAGTAGTAATCGAGTATGGCTATAGTATTTCGGAAATGGCTAGATGCTAACCGGGACCGTTAGACAATGTAATGCCGGTTTTTATAAACTATGAGTAGTACCGCGGTCCGCCGGTTTAAAAATTAACTAACGACAATAGTAAAAGTATGTAAGGAGTAAATCAACCTGATAAGTACGGGTCAAACTGATCTGCGGAGCGCCGAGTTCAGTCTCTCAGTGTCCGGTGAGTCGGTCACCTGAAGGACAGAGCCTCAGAGAACTGGCTAAATGTTTTATTTTTTCAATTTGACCAGAGCGGTATCAGTAGTCCGGGCTTACATAATAATACCTCCACATAGCGCTGAATGCAACCCTGTTTGGCCTTGACAGTAGCCCATCCTATCTCGGTCCTTTGCACTAATTATGCGAACGAATATTAACGCAATATAAGCACCGGCCGCGTCGAAATCATAATTCGCCCATTCATGCATATTTCTCGATCTGCGGCTCACTACCCATAATGAGTGACCCCAGTTCCCCCTCTCCCGCTGAAGTAGAGAATCTCGTGGTTCTTTTCGTGGGTTTTGCGTTTGCCACTTTCTTATACGGCTTGACGTTCTTTCGTGAGTATCTTATGGTCTCATCAGCTTTCTCTCATGTCGTTGCAGAGACGTACATATATTTTACTCGATACTCGAATGATCATACATGGACAAGGATCTTGGTATGGTCTTCTTCCCTATCTGTCGAGTACCCATCTCACATTTCCACTTTCTCGCAGGTTGGGACGCTATTGTAACGTATTACGGCTTTAAACTTGAACGGCACCTTACACATATGCCAGTGTCCTGGACACCACTTCAACTGGCCTAGGTGCGACCACTTCCAAACGTGTTTTTTTGTCTTCCCTGACTTGGATTCATAGTATCTGACTTGTAGGAGCTTTGTCTCCATTCACTCCAATCTCTAACATAACTGATTAGGCTATATCACTATCTGATAACAATGTTCGAGGTGACAATGGATGTCCTGTATGCAACACCGTAAGTGTCAGTTCGTCAAACGTGTTATCGACCTTTGTAACCATGCTTTTAGAGCTTTTTGCGTAAGTAAATTTTGACACATGGTTGCCTTGGCCGCTTCTCATTGTCTGCCGTATCAAGATACAATATCTCCTTTTGGTGAGTCTATATTCAACTGTGGCTTCCGGAGTGCTAACAGCATTACTCCAGGTCATTCTCACTCTAATCACGCAGTTGTAAGGCAACAGTCATAGATAAAACACTGCAACATCTCTTACTCCCCCTTAGATTTTTCGCTAGTCGACTTTATACTGGTGAGCCAATTTGTTTGTGAGTTTTCATTTTCTTATTGTTCAATAGTTTGCGGTGGTCCTACGAGTATCACTTCGAGATTCGTCGGCACGCTAGTGGTATGTGTTTTATGACCATACTCAGTCACTTCCACTCACCACGCCGCAGCTCTTCTGTGCCTTCATCGCCTTTGGTTAGTATTCTTTCCTGCGTGTATAAACCTTGCCTGACGCGATTTTCGATCACAGTTTTCGGCTCAAGTTAGTTCGTATGATATTCAATTGACTCTCATTGACGAAAGTGCAGCTTCAGTAGGGCAATTGTAAGTGGATATTATAAGAGCAATCTTGAATACCGTGTTGATTCTCGTTCGTTTCTTAGCTTCCAGCAAAGGCAGTTGTCCACATTCGCTTCGCCCTCCATGGCAGTGAGTGTTTTGATTAATCAAGAGGATTCTTACCCAGAATTGCAGATTATCGCTGGCATCAGCCAAGGCTTCGCAGCAATCGCGAACATCATCATTTTTATTGCGATGTGTTGGTCGTTGCGTCCAGCACGTTATCCGGACATGCTCCAGTCAGTGTTTCGTGTTATAAGAAGCAAGCAGCTGTTGACGCATTGTTTTTAGGCCCGAGGGGGTGGTTGAAAACCTCGTTGTGGTGTTTGTGGGCCGTGGCCTGGGACTCGTGTAGGTTTACTCCGCGTCTGTTTATATAGCCTAATCATGTTTCCATTGGTCAGCATCATCCAGCTGGCGTATCTTGGCACAGTACGTGGATGCTTCGTAAGCATACCTCTATGACTCATCTGTATAGTTTGTTGCATCACCAGGAAAACCATATTGGATAGCGATCCAGATGGTGACCCCCAGGAGTGAGTTTTTGTCACCCACTCACCTCGCATACAGGCTCATGGCAGATCATAGTATACGCCAATATTGTCTTGGGACTGTAAGTCATTCACCTCACGCCTCGGACACCGTGTTCCTATTTTTTTTCTCAGCTTGATCACCCGGGAAGTCAGACACGGCATCGGTTTCAACGAAGAAGACACCTTGTCTGATCGACACGATTCCCAAAACGATGCTTTCCCAGGCTCGCTTCGCTTCCGCGACAGAAAAGCAGTGAGTTCGCATGCCTCGAGACCTAACTGAAATCAAGCTAACGTACCATCAGACGCAGCAGTCATCGAGCTTCTCGCAACAAGCGGAGAACAGCGGGAGTACCGAAATCGAAGAAGCAAGCAAATCATATTCCGATGACCAGAACTCGGTGCGTTCATGCCATATGGCGTTGAAGACGTCCGCTGATCTTGCGGATTTATGCAGAGGTCCGTTCATTCTCATTGCAGCGAACAACATGGATATGACAAGGGAAGTTTGTCATGATCCGGAATTTGCGATTCGCTGGTCGCACGCCTATTAATATCATTGTACTAATCGTCGCTTGTCGTCGTCCCTCCCGCACTCGCTTTCGTTGCTTTCGCTGCTCGCACTCACTTGTATCATATTGCCGTCGGTGCATACTCTACATTAGTCCCTGGCTCTTGAAGCAGCTCGGACTTGGAAGACACGTATCATATTACGGACTCATGAATAACATAGCGTATATCGCACGTATCGTACGTATCAAGTATTCACATTTCAAGACAATTATTTTGGGGAATCAAGTCTTTTAGCTTTCAGAACCGCACTTTCTAGACGTCGCCGAGCATTCTGTCCTCAAAACAACCGAGGTGAATAGGTTTAAATGCTAGCGCTACATAATCACATCGACACTCGGCATGCGAAATGAATAACCGGAACATGTGATGAAATGTCGGGCGTTCAATGTAACAGGTGCGTTAGCGAGGTGGATAATGAATCAAAATTGTATATGTGATGCTAATAACAGCCACGGCGTACAAGCAAATTGGCGGGACGCCTAACATGGACCTACATGACGTATAAAGCAGATGCCTGATTAGCTATGCTACACGATACTCCGCTCGCTCATCACACCCTGCACCAAGCGCCCATCTCCTCACGTGCTTCTTTAGGCTGTCAGTAACTCATACCTACGAGTTCATCGAGTGCGCGCGGCAATGTTTGTAGTGGGTCGAACTCGAGGACGTGAGCCCTGGCAGATTTCAGGATGTGACTCAGACATCCAGTGGCAGGGTGCTGTAAGATGGAACGACATCGAATCTGAAATAGGGTGGAGAAAACATATGAAATGGAGAGCGAACGCAGCCTTCTGTCGAACTTTCTCGTTATCATCGAAGTGGTCCATCAGATGTACGAAGATGCACCTGGCGCTAAGTCAAACCTGTCCGCTTCGCACACAACAATCACTGAAGCTGTGAAGCGATAACGCATTTGATGCACCTTAAAACACAGGCAGGGCCCAACTTCCTCAACTCCAACCCAAACGCCCACTTATCGCTGGTGATTTGAGCACTGGGTGTGTCTAAACTTCTTGTGAGTTATTGATACTTTGGGCTCTTCTGCAACATATACACCGCTCACAAGCAATTTTGGATACCCTCCAAGATCTCTGTACATTCTCCGACACACAACTCCTGTATACGGTGTCGAAATTGGCTTCTGGGTGAGGACCGGAATTTTATAGTGCAGAAATCGTCTGGTAAGCGATGGCTTATGCGTTTATATTAGCGACAGCTGAGGTTAAAGAAGATAGACAGGTTGACTCACTGGGAATATTTGCCGCCGCAGACAACTCGTTTTGATTCAAAGATCTTGGCGAGCTTCTCTCGCATAAATCCGCTATACCCGAGACGTCCCTCGCGCCGACCATGTCTGTCCAAACGAATAAGAAGCAAAAGACGCCAGCAGTCATGCCCCGTCAGACGATGCGAGGCCATACCTCAGAGATAAGAGGTGCCGTGCACCTGCCCGGGGGACAACAGATCGTGACATGTGCGTGGGATGGGTCACTACGACTATGGGACTTGGAGAGCGGCGCACAGATAGGCGAGGACTGGCGAGATGAGGAGAATAAGAAAGCAAGGGTGCTCAGCATGGTATTGTCTTCAAACGGCAGGACTATTGTCAGCGGAAGTACAGATGGGAAAGTGAAGTTGTGGGATGTCGAGATGGGAAAGGTCGTCGAAAAATGGACAGGGCACACTGGATATGTGTGGTCAGTATGTTGGGGTGCGGATGGTAAGCGAGTGCTGAGCGGATCCAAGGACGGGACAGCAAGAGTCTGGGATGTCAACACCGGAAAACCAATCTTGACGATCGAGACCGGGATCCGGAATGCTGGAGTGTGTACGGCGATATACTCGCCCGATCACACACAAATTGTGACAGGAGGATACGACGAACAGAAAGCTGACGAAGATCAACTTACACAAATCTGGGATGCAAATACGGGCAAACTGCTCGCCACACTCAAACGCGATCCAAGCTTCGACTTGGCCTGGACGTCGGATGAAAAGAAACTTATCTGCGTGGGAGGTGAGCCGATTAGGATTTATGACACAACCAAATGGGAGGAGATCGCCATTCTGGAGGGTCACACGGACAGTGTCAGCGCCATCACCTTGTCTCAGAACGACCGCCTCCTTGTGAGTGCATCTGAGGACAGCACAGTGCGTCTATGGAATCTTGACACCAACCTTCAAGTCGGTCCACCCATCCAGCACGAAGATGATGTATACTGCGCAGCCCTTTCCGCTGATGGAAAAGTGCTGGTCACTGGTTGCCATGACAAAAATGCATATGTATGGGACATTCACGCCATCCTCAAAGAAGCTGGCCATAAGGACCTACTATCCATTGCTCATGTGAGTCCAGGTGCCTCGTGCTTTTCGAACCACACTAATCTCTCACTTGCAGGTCCCAGCTCAAAAGTCGTTAAAGGACGTACGTGACGCATTTCTTCACTCTGCCCAACCATTCTAAGATCAGAATTATAGGGTGCTCCCAGACGTCCACCTATTCAGGCCCGTCGAATACCACCAGGCTTTTTCGACGACACCCAAGTGAGTCCTCTACCTTATTTCACCAGCTCTTTTTCTAACCTTTCTCAGTTCTCTACAGCAGGTGGTACCCATACCCTCTCTCCTGCGCACAATACTAGCAGTCCTCGCCCATCATTATCTGCCATTCCACGTGCTCTTCTCGAACGACTTTCGTCATTCTTCCACCCCTCTCACTCCAATGCAGATAGAGACACTGAACTCCGGCAACGTCCAAGGCGCTCCATCTTCTCTCACGGTCCTCGTATCGTCGAAGTTGCTACAGTACCGGACAGAAAGGTATTTATTTCTCCTGATCCATTTCCTACCGCCCCGGTTCAACAATTTTTGTCCAGGCATTATATGTTGCTCCACGACCGCGTCCGCAGCAGCAAATGCAGGTGCATGGCCAGGGCTCCTCGTCGCAATCTCAGCCAACAACTACCGCCACCTCCACCACACCTACTCAAGGTAGCAACACTGCCGCACCAATTGCAGCAACCGCACAATCACCACCTATCCCATTGTGGGCTCGGTTTGTTCTATTTCTCTGCCGCGCATCTCCCCCGCACGCCAATGGTCATTAATACAAGAAAAGCATATGTACAATCTTTTTTTTTCATATCTGCCCCTAATCCATCGAACCTGTTTCCTTGTCGCGAGACTCGTGCAACGCAGCGAACTCGATCATACTAACCGTCGCGAGAGCATCGCTATACTCACAGAGAATACAAGCCTAGGATCAGCCCAGGTTCCTCCTATGCGTAGACTTCCGCAATATTATGGCCAACTCATCAGCTACTATGTAGCCTTTCAAGTCATGTTCGTAGAATTCAACCTCAGACGAGCAAGATGCCCTTTATAATGTCTATGCACCAAATTTGTGCACCAGTATTTGCGCAGTTCTCTATCTGAGCCCCGAAACATCGGTTTTGTACAGGGCTGCATAATTACCAGTGTGCAACTACGGTAACCGACCATAAACGCTAGCGTTTTTTTTGTTCATGATATTGAGCATTTGGGATTGTATCTATTGATTTACAGGTGCTGACACCGTTGCCCATCAGGAAAAAACCCAAAATGCCGTAGCCCGAGCGACAGCTATATAGCGCTTTTTAGGCACAGTAGCACTATGTAGGCGCACCTTACGCTACAGTGACCTATATAGCGCTATATAGTCTTTAGCCAAGCTACAAGCGGCTATATGGTTGGGGGGTGCTACAGGTAGCTACAAGAGCTATCACTGCGGCTACAAGCAGCTACAGGTGCAACCGTAGTACGTACGTGACACGTCGTTGCATATCATTACTTTATAACACATGCGCAAAACATTTCGCCATCAATGAACTCGTTAAAATAAAAATCGTTCGCCACCTCGTACATCAGGAAATCAACCCGGAATTGATATGGCCAGATAGAGCTGACAAATAAAACTCATTATGATATGTTATGATACATCTTTATTTAGAATTATACATTATTATCTTTGCACAACATATGTCTGAAAAAATATACAAGTATGCCAGGGACATACCATTTTGTTATGCATCTTGCAAGGATGCAACAAGAATCTGAAAGAATATATGACTATATCATGCACCTATCATTTTGATTTGCATCTTGCAAGCATGCAACAAGTATCTGACAGAATATATGACTATATCATAGACCTATCATTTTGATATGCATCTTACAAGGATGCAACAAGTATCTGACAGAATATATGACTATATCATAGACCTGTCATTATGATGCATATTTTATAAGAGCTGACAAATAATACCCATTATGATATGTCTAGATGAGAATTATACATTGTTATCATGGTGTCGAAACAAGATATGTTCATGCCAGAGGAATATCACTGTGATGTACATATTAAAAGCAGACAACATTTTGATAACTGGGCTGTCCATATCCTGCAATTGAATGACTGCAAATCATCACATTTCGAATAGACTTATAATGCATTGTGACATTTTTATATATCTTATTTAAATTGTATAGAAGCTGCAAAAACTACAATTGTGACGGTCTGCTTGCACTTATCTGTCTGGCGGCCATCAACATGGCTGGCATCTACAAAGCTTGACAGGCATGGATTACTTCAGACTGAGTTTGTCAATGGACCAATGGTGCTAAGTGATTACACCGCAGTACAATGCTGGGTATCGCATATCAGCCAAGTGCGGCATCTCAAAATCTCACTCAGCAGTACTTGATTGTAACTCGAGATCTCAGATCCACAAGCTACAGGGATAAGCAGCAGTGCACAACTACGCCGACCATCGCATACTATCCAATATAAACTCAAGGGTAAGTCTCTTACACGATTCGCAGTGGGATCTGCACAGGTCCGAAATGGAAGAATGAATATTGCGAGAGATGAGATACAGTAGTAGTCTATAACTGAAATCAGTGAGGGTACCGGATATACTTCAGTATTTCGGGTTGCATACAAGTCAAACAGAGCAAATTCCGATACTATATATCAAAACCAAGTTCGAAGCAAATGGGTAAGAAGCAAGTTGATGTGAAGGACAATAAGAGAAGAGGGGTGACTTTAGAGCAGGTGAGTCGAATACATATTTCATGGGTGGGATGTACATCTACCTGTCAAAAGCGCAGTCATAATGCAGATGAAAATCAATAAATATAGTGATGGAAAATGCAGCAAGAATAACATAAACCAAGGGCGACGTACAACCTATACATAAGTGAAATTTATGAACGAATTTTCACTTTGGGAAGGAAGCACTTACTCGTGAAGGTGGTACAACAACAAGGGTGTCACAGGTGTGCAGAGGCACTGGAAGAAGATAAAGACGAGGTCAAGTTCCAATCGTCAAACCAATCATTAACGTGGTCAGGTGGATGTGATTCAAATGTCGTGGCACTTCCATCAGACGTGCCTTCTGCGAGCGACATCCATGTTAATTTAAGGAAACTCGAAGCAAAAAAATTATCACGCTCACCAACAACAATACGTGCTATGGCTTCAGCAAACATGTCCACCTCGGCCTGTGCGCGTTGCTTCTTCAAGTACATAATACGGAAGTCAGATTTAAGTTCGTCCAGCTTTTTGGACTCTGCATTGGAGCTGTCGCTATTGCAGGTGCGTGCTAGTGACTTGTTGGTTTCTGCAACAGATGCGCTCACGTATGCACGATATGTCATATCACCAACAAGAGCCTTCAAATAAATGGGTAGGTAAGGAATTCGATCACCGGGCTGAACAAAGTCAGAACGAGTCCCTCGTATTATTAGTAGCACTCACCTTTAAGGGGGGTTTATGGAGACTAGAATCTTTTAGATATTGTGGGGAATCATGAAGTAGTATTCGGCCGGCGTTGTCACCAACTTCAGTAGCACGATCGTGAAGATGCAATGACGTAAGAGCCGACGCCTTGTGGCACGCGGAAAGCCACGCCATGCATTTGTATCGTGTAGGTGGGAAGCAGTCAAAGTGGGCCGAACGGAACTCCTGACATGATCCTGCATAATCGACAGCGTCCACGGACAACTTCTTTGGAGTAAGACATGATGTAGCTAAGAATAAAATTGATTTTTTGGTACAATCCTTTGAACAGAATAGCTCACGTGAATTAGTTGCATTAGTTGTAGTGTTCAGCTGTTCGCACAAGTTTGCCATAGCTGTACTGAACAAGGAAACTTCCATTTGTGCTCTATACATCATCTCTTCCATCAGGCATCGCCCAGTTTGCACAGGAAGTGCTGTCCCACTCTCCTCTTCTGGCTGCAGTTGTTTTCGCGTCGCGACCTCTCTGAGGCTTGTGTCAAGGAGGGATATAAGGTCATGGAGGTCTACTGATCCAAGCAGCACGGAGACTGCAACAAACAGGGAGTCTGGAAGCTGGAGGTGAACTTATGAGAGACCAACACGAAAGCCATGTGAGCATACTAACAATTTTAGTCCCCCGTGCCTGAAGCCAAGATCTCAGTGCAGACTCGGTGTATTCAATTTCAAGGTGGGTATCCAGAGATGGCTGGGACGTAGAAAGGAAAGTTGAAATGATATTTGACATTTTGAAAAGTTAGTAAGGGAGCAAAAGGCTCGAGGGATACTCGCACGATCGTTGGATACTTATTATACACTTATAATACAGAACCGACGATGCACTTCGACCTTGTCCTAGTTTGGGCGGGATGGCGTACTATGATGACATCAGGGCAATCAAATTAATTAGCGACGAGATTTTGATTCCGGCTTCGTCACGTGACACAATCAACTGCTGTAAAATGCGTCCGAGTCAGAACAATAGTGGAATGCAAAAACGCTCTAGAGAAAATCTCATAAGGCGGCGGAGAGAGCCCTCTGGGCCGATGGTCCGGTGCAGTGTTGGAAAACAAATGCAGCCGGTGCAGAGTGCACTAGGGAAACGGAAACGGCGACGGCAAAGAACTTACGGGTATTAAGCGCTGACGCGGGTGGCTTTCGAGTTGTATGACTCTGTAAATTGGGCTAGCATATAAGCTGTATGCTTGTCAATTTTAAGAACTCAAAACGTACTCAACAAAGATAGATGCTAGCCCACTCGAAGCCGACAATTGGCCAAGACGCGACGCTGATGCCTGCGAGGAATACTGGGATGTTGATATTTCTCTAGTAAGATAGGGAAACAGTGAGCGAGGTAGTAGAACGGGTTGGCGAGGAAGGTATCGACGGCAAAGAACCAGAGCAATGGGCTGTACATAGCACAACAACTAAAGAGATGGTGGAGGTCGATGCTTCCCTACAAAGCGACGTGATTTCAAAGGTGCTAGAGGACGGGTAAGTAAAGAACTGAGGCAAGGTGGTGTGCAGATGTCCACGATGTTGGCAAACATCCAGTCCTGCACGAGGGTGACAATCACGGAATTGGAAGGCAGCGAGGGATCGGTAATTGCTTGGAGCATGCCAGCGAGGAGTGGAGCGAGAGCAACGCAAACAGCCTGGACAGAGATATCCGTGGGGAGAATCTCCGCCGTGATGAAGAGGAGAAGTATTACGGGGCTTGGCATAGACTACCGCTGAGACGCTGCAATAAGACTGCCAGAATGGGGCAACACACAGATTGGCCGGTCAGCGTTCGGTCCTGATGAGTGCAGTGGCAGAGCAGGAATGGTGTATACACTTGAACTGATGGGCAGGTCGGTTGTACTTGCACTGGAAGCCAGTTCCATGTCGTTCTCGCGGGAGATTTCAAGGGAGATAAACTTCGCATTGTCTCATGGACGAGGTGTAATAAGAACTTCGTAGCCCACTGGATAGAGTTTTGAGTCTACGACAATCTCGGCAACGAGAAGATCTGTGGAATGTCTGATTTCGCCCTTCAACGTAAACACAGAGGATGATTTCAAGGGCTCAGAGGCAGAGCCTACAGAGACTGAAGAGGTCCTGCGAGGATATGGCGTGGATGAAGGAATAGGAGATGGAGGGAGTTCGACTGAATTGTTTGCCCAAGCCTCAGGAGTAGGACCAAGAGTTGGCAGGCCCACTCTGCTCAGCCTAGGAGTGAGATCATCAGGTTTACTTGATATACCGGGCATCGTGAGCAACACAACACTGCGATGGGTTTGATTGGCAGGGCTGAAAGTTGACACCAAAAGAACTCACAGAATATGTGCACAACTACTGAGGTGTAAGCAGCAAATGCAACACCATATGCAACAGCCACGGTTGCCGTCATGAAGATAGGCGAGTAAGCCTCGTGCTGCACTATATTGAAAGAGGCATTGGCGACCACCCGAGCAGCGTCATACTGCAATCCAGTGTCGTCGAAAGTCAAGTAGGATGAGATTGGCAAGTATGCGGGGAAGCAATTGTTGTTGGCTGCGAGACACTCTGAGCGCATTACACAATAAAAGCAGGAGAGAACATACATTAGGTGATCAGTGCAAAGATCAAGGAGAAGACCATGAGGGCATCGACCATGTTGACCTCAGACCACCAAGGTGTCACCAAAGGGCTTCGACATAGTGTGTTGAATAGGGCGGAGATGACAAGTGTCCCAGGTGAACGGCATCACAACATTGGCGGACTCCGGCACCGCAGGCATAGTTGGCGAGAGTGTACCGTCTGGAGCTGATTTCAGTGCGTGCAACTCCTCCGAGTCCGTGAATTATGCCTACAGATCGATTGAATTAATGCAAGAAATCTATACGTTCTGTGCAACTGACCACACAGACCGGCCAAGTTGAAGTGCTTCAGAAGCCGGAGTTGCAAACGCAACAAGATTGGGATTTGATGAAGAAGATGGAGCGGAGGGAAGAGACTGGAAGGATAAGTCTCGGACAGACGCATTACTGTAGAAGTTCGATTTGTTGAGATCATGGGAGAGTCGTTTGGTTGGAGCGCAAGAGAGAATCAGGAAGACGGGAGTTTCTGCGAAGACGATTCGAGAGGAGTATGCAATGCCATTTGGAGATGGTTGTCCACTTGACTCGTTCCCGAATTAAACCTTAGAAACTTCGAAGACATGTTAAGGGAAGAGTTGCACAAATTGGGATGACTTACAGGCTATCTGATTCGGTATAAAGGCAGCCCACCGAGACACACACCAAAGGTAAAGATATGATCTGAAGTTCGTCGATCGATATTTCTCGTAGAGCCTGTGCAAGTCCAAGGTTATTGAGAAAAGCAGCATGGTGCGAAAAGCGCATCCGAAAATTCCTTGTGATGCTTTGAGCACTAAAATTATTAAATAAGGGCGCGAATGCAAGGTTCGGGGCTTACTGTCTACCAATCATGTAATGCATGCGAAAGCATTACCTTGGTTTGTCGAAAAGACTTATGTTTCTGCCCGTCGAAGTCATCAAATGAAAAGATGAGAAAATGTCAGCTTACACCGCATAGAGACAGACTGTTAAGAGCCCAGATGAGGACGTCATAGAGGATACCCAAGAACTGTGCATGCTCACTTGTATTACATAAGCTTCACACTTAAAGTCACTACTTCATATCGAGCACATCTTCATATTGTACCCCTTCTACACACTATGGCCCAAGTCCAAGATAGCGAAAATGCAAACATGGTAAGTCGTTGGCAGCATTTGACCTGTGTGGACTGACTGAAACTGTCAGAGACAGACTCAGCAAGTTAATGATGGAAACGAAGTAAACAATGTAGATTGTAGCACGTACCTGCATAGCATAGTCCGTCCCGCATTATTGGGCTGACGACACCACGAGATAGGTGCAGCAGGAGGAAGCGTTACAACCTGGGTTCGCGATCATGACAGTCCGCCATGGTGAGTTGTTCGATTATCATCAGTGATTGTGTATCATTGACCAACTCTGCACTTACTAGACTCTCTGGGACTACGCGCAAGTTATCGTGCAGGATAACCAAGAGCACACGCGGAGATGATCCCCACGGAGCGCGTGCGCCCCACCCTGCCGTCCCGATGTCCCGTCGTGACAGGTGTATCCTGACGCTTATGGTCGAGGAAAAGCGAGACAAGTTGAGGAGGCAGTGGGAAGAATTAACGAGATTGAACTCCTCCTAGGCTTGGAATTTGTTTGAAAGGAGTATGTCATTGGGGCCTCTGTGTTGAAGTATACATGAAAGAAGAGTGTTCCGTGTCGTTGAGCGTCTCTTAGACTTAAAACATGGATGACAAGAGTGCCTGATTTGCGTTTTAAGTGTTAGGAACTTGGACATTGATATCATTGCTTACTTTGAACATTCTGGCTGCCAGGATCTCACTCGAGACATTTGGTATATCATGCTTACTCTGGCGAGTCCACTTTCATCTTAGACTATACCGAACACATTTGCGACTCAATGGATATCGATGCGCATTCCAAGACAAGACTACAGCACGACATACAGATGGGGACATGGATATAGGGCTCAACTCATCTATTCTGCGCTTACCTTTTTTGACGGTCGGCCAAGCCGATAGACATCGTCGATGCTGCAGTTTACATCAGAAATAGTGCAGGAAAGCAGATGAAACGAACTTACACAATCCTGCATAGATTAGACAAGTCGGTCATGAGTTTCGGGTGATCCTCGTCATCGGACTGCCCCACAAGTTCGACAGCCGTCTCGCAGAGTTGGTCGTACACATCATTCTGTGGCTGGATACTGTGTAAGTAGGTCGACGGGGATGTTTGTTAAGTCCGAGTATTTTTCCAGAACAGCACTGTAACACTTGGACACGAGTCAATTAAATGAAAACAGAGTGGAAATACACTCACACTAGACCCCAACAGAGACATAGTTGGAAACTGGCGGATGATCGACATTTCTGAATGTTGCCAGCTCCATATCGGCCAACACGAGTCGAACACCATGAGTCAGAGAAGAACGAAAAATAATGTGCCACATGATCTCCTTGGCTATTTGGCAGCCAAAGAACCAAGCAAACCCGTTATCCTGCGGTTGAAATAAGAATGACAATTGAAGGAGGTACAGAACACGCACTTTGATCGGAAATCTATTTGATTTTGGTCTCATGAACTGCTGAAGCACACCCTGGACTAGGTCAAGCAACAATACACCCGCAGGTACTGTCGTCAAAGCCAAAGCCTGCATGAGAGTGGCCTGATTGTGCACAACGCTAAGCGCCTGGCATCAGTATATAAACTCTGATAGCGAAGGATTGGCCTATTCTGGGTAAGATATAAGAATGATGAAAGTAAAAATCTATACAGACGAGTTTCAACACATTTTCACGAGACATAGGAGTGCTGCTGGTAAGCGACGCAACTAAAAAGGAGTCAGCATATCTAGCAGGTATCAGAGGAATCGATCTCCTGACCTTCTTCCAAATCATCAGCCCTGATATTGGCCAGAAGGAGAGCTTGAGGCCAGGTATCATGGATAGCATCTGCCTTCCGTTCAAAATTGAGTAGGTGGGGATTGCCGACTCTGCCTAAGCAGACCGCTATTCGTAGTAAGGACCGGAGGTGGGCAAAGGCCACTTTCCACCCTGGGTATTTTTTCATAACACTTTTGAGGCCCATTTCAGATGGAGCTGGTTTTTTGGGTTTAGCTGACTGTTCGGGTTTAGCTGACTTTTCGGATTTAGCTGATTTTTCCGCCTTTGTCTTGTTGGATTTGGTCCGAGTGCGTCTGCAGTCTGCACGAGATTGACGGACACTGGGGGCGCCGTTATCCTGTCATGTTAGCCGAGTATGAAATCCAGGAATAGATGGTGGGCGAGTTCGACATGACTACCTCGGATGTATTGTCGCTAGTTAGATCTTCGGATGTCATATATTGATCACCATAATGTGTATCTGTCATGACGGCGTCGTTGGAATGGTAGGCGCGGACTACGTCATGGTGTCCGAAGCAATATACTCATTAGAATGATCGCATGACCAACACTGTCTGACGTAGACGCGAAGGTAGCGTCGTTGGAATGGTAGGTGCGGCCTATGTCGTCCGACATCACAGTGTCCGAAGCAATATACTCATCAGGAATGATAGCACGATCAATACTGTCTGACATGGACGCGAAGCTAGTAAAGTCAATGTCACCCCAAGGGTGATAACCAGTGGGATGGCGCGCGAGATGAACGATAGTTGTGGAGTTTTCAGAACCAACCTATGGTGTATCGTCACGCGAGAGATACGTAGAATTGGGGGGCGGACTTACGAAGTCATATACAACATAAAAACGGTTATCAGGACCTATCCTTGTAGACTTAGGAGGGAAATCCAATCGTTCGATCTGAGGATAAAGCTACAAGGCTGCTCAGTGGGAGGGTAGACACGGTGGAGACTTGACTTACAGAACTGACATACACAGGGACTTCCTTGCTCTGTGTGACCTCTAAGGCTGAAAGATGAACAGTTGATGTCAATACATAAGCATATAGAGAGATTTGTGCTCTCAGCTAGGAAAGAGTGAGTGTGTAGTCCCCCCATAGAATCAATTAGGTACTTGGTCATGTAGTGACATGCGACACTAGGGCCAGAATAAATGATACGTAAACACTTCAGAAATACAAGAACTCGCATATAGAGGGTACAATGCCAGCCCATGTCCCAGAGCCAAATACACCATGAAGTCGACATTGTCCATGCCAACAAAATCACCCTGAAAGAAACCAGGTGAGTGTATGTACTAACTTCGAAAGGACAAAAAAACTGACATAAAGCGGCATGAGGCCGATACTTTCAAATATGAAGGAATCAAATAGTGCTGGTGTGCCGATCTGGGGATTGTGATGCAAAGATGAAGCCATTGTAGTTGCGAGCAAGGCAGAGAGATATCTGCAGCTTTTAAATGGTGCTTGGTTAGGTCGCCGTCGAACCACCCTACAAACGCACCTCTAAAGCTCTAATTATTGAACACCAGATTAAGCGAGACACATCGACGCTGTTGCAAAACGGATGCCTGAACCTTCTTTAGCTTTTTCGGTACCCAATTATCTGACGTACATACCTCCTCTAAGGTCAGGACACCCGACTAAACGAGACACTTCGACGCTTCACATGCCTGAAGTGGTCTTTGACGCAGCATTCGACACCATTGATGCCTACAGTAGTTGTAATTACGTTCTCCGTTACAATGTAATCTAATTCTCGTAATCTAATTCTAATTCGCTTGCGTACATTTCTTCATACTGCTCTATTAGTGATTCCTGGCTACTGTCATACCACCGTTCAGTGGGGTCCACCAACGGACCCTCATTTTCATCGTCTTCATCGTCCTGCGCAGCTTCCTCTTCGTCTCCAAGGCTACCGTTGTCATCATCATGTTCTTTGACATGAGAAGTAGATACAGACTGCGCTGCGCTACCATCTCGCTGAAGGTGGGAATATACATGTCCAACACCAAGCCCGAAGTGGAATCGCATAAGCATGTCACGATCCACGAACCTGACATGAAGAATTTAATATTACTGATCAATGACACAATACGACTCACTCACCGATTGATAAAATATTCGCACCAATCATCCTTATCCCCCGCGTTTGCCGACATACCTAATCCATCAACATGTTTCCTGCGGCTGGAGAAACGAGGTATAACATGACAACCCCTGAGGACATCTGCAGGATCAAGAAAGTCGAAGGAGTGCTCATGCAATAGGGGCAGAAAGGTGAGTCGGTCTAAGGTCGAGGTCTCCCAGGTGGAACGTTGATCGATGGGCTCATACCAGCGTATCCACAAAAACTCCATTCGAGAGGGAGTGTAGTTGATCATACCGTTTCCGATATAGATCACATTGATGTGGTATATACCTAGTACCTTGCCATACATATATCTGTGCCCTTGGTCCTCTATGTCGGTGTCGGAGCGAAGAACCATGACATTACAGTGTGAAGTCCTCAGATTAATCACATCTTGGGCTCTGCGAACATTGTAGGTTGTGTAGTTAAACCTGGCGATGTTATGACGATACATCTGATTGTCCTTAATAATGAGTGTATTGATATCATGTTCTTGGATAGGACACAGAGAATCTCTTGAAGTATTGATGCGATGCAGTAGGTGGCCCTTCAGTTTCGGAACAAAATTCTGTGCGACCATGTTAGATGTTTCTCAGTATGCACGATCAGACTCACTATAATAGCAGGATCACCTTGGTGACTGCGCAAATACGATCCTATGTGCACAGGGTACTTTTGGGTGAGGCTGATACGGTGGTGAGCTTCAGGGCTTGTCGCCAACTCGGAGATTTCCACATGGGGGCGATGAACAATTCTGTCCCCAATACGGCGAATGCGAGCTTGCCGACGTTCAATTTGAGTCAGCTGTTTCACAAATGATTTGCGATCAGTGCGGCAATATCTGGCTTTGGGAGAACGATGTTCGAGTTCACCCTAAAAAGTCAACAAGTTAGTTCATAGTTGAATGAGTTAGGACACACCAGTTCAGTGCTATATGAATCAGATGTGCCATACCGGCGTATTATAGATATGTAGTCTCCTAATGCATGAAACTTGTACAGTTTGAAAATTGAATACCTTCGTTCGGTGCACATTTTGAGTCGACTGCGCCTGCTTTTCCAGGTTACAGCTTTCTTTTCCTTTATGCCCTGCTGTCTGTTTCCCCGCCTTCTTCGCATGGCATCGAGCACGAGCCTCAACCTCTTTGTGCAGTTCACGGGTCTGGTAGCAGCAGCAAACTGTAGTCTTGAATTCACGAAATTGTTGCCCAAGCGGTTGATGTTACTTCGTCCATAATCTCAAGGGTCAAATCTGAGTGCATCCGGAGCTTTGCCAGCCCATGCCAATGAGCCATAGTGAAAAGCAACTTAAGCACAGTCCCATTGTGTGGTTCTGGAAGAAGACCGTCAAACACAGGGATTGAACACTGTACACATCGTCAGTGGTCTATCCAACGTCAATACGTACAGAGCTCATACCTGGAGGAGATCCTCAAAGTTTCGAGCCACCATACGCGACATGTCGGAAGAATTGGCTGAGAACTTTCTGATGGTGGCTGCACCAAACAGTCGGAGTCTGCCTGTATCTGATAGTAGAGGTCAGCTGGATGCAACAAGCAACGCAGGTATCTGACACCAGTACCTCTTGTCCAATTGGTGTATCAGGTCCTTGTCCTGGGCCGAAATAATGCGCAACAAGTGAATGAATAGCATCTTCCAAACACCTGATCTCAAACTCGTGTAGAAGATCTACCACCAGAGCACAAAAGATATTGAACCCCATTGGACCGAGACTGGTCTATGAAGGAGTTCTAAGGGATTATTAGCACTTAGCAACGTTCAGGGGATCAAGTCTCACTGAGGTGGGTACCCAGGACTCTGGCTTAAGAATGCTTTCCACCAGCGCGCTACCGACTGAGTAGTCCTTCTCGTAAATCAATTTATGTGCAGCGCTGACCAAAGTTCCCCTCTTTTGAGGATTGCGTTCCAGGGTCTTGCATTGCTGTCTATCCCGAGTCCTTCCCATATTCTGTATCCGGTCCTTTGGAATGAGGCAGCGAGGACATGGGCACCCTCCTAAATTTCGGATCGTGGCTATAAGTACTCTGGTCAAGTTAGAATGAGCACTATTCGACTAAGGAAGAGTCACGCACTTCTCAGGATAATCCGCAGAGTACGTGAATATCCGAGGATAGAATCTGCGCGTGATGCCATCACAACAGTGAATGACAATTCCGTGAGCATATGCTTCTAGAAACTCCTCGTCTAATAAGATATTCCATTGCTCCTGAAATAATTCTCGACGGCAGTGGGTTGCGCCCTCGCTGGTACCGCCGGCAAAATCTTTAAATGAGTCTGGGAGCTGGAAGCACAAAATTAAGTGCACATTGAAACCCACAACATTGGGACGCTTACCGTTTCAAAGTAAGCGACGTGATTGCTTAAGTTACACGACGGCTTGCACCGACGATACTTAGACTCATTCCCGAAGTACATATAGGTAGGCCATAGCTTGGCATTTCCAAACGACGTGAGTTGTGTAGCGTCAGACCAGAACATCAGTCCAGCGACTACTCGGGGCAGGTCGCAACCTCGCTCCCTTGGAGATTCTTGCAGCTGACTGTGGGCATCTAGGAAAGCCGGAGAGGTATACAGATCCCCATATATGGGAACTTCGCGATCCAGGTGAGGGGGCTTCCAACGGAGCTCATACGGCTCATAATGAAAGAGTTTGTCATCCCGAGCGTTAGCAAGTTTTTCCCGCATAACAGCCACCAGAGAACGATGGTACAACTCTGCGGCTTGGTAGGATCGAGGGCCTGGTGTATCAGTGGTGCGGGAAAAGGGAACCTCGATGGAAACCGGGGTTTTTTTTTTCCATCCAGCATCCTCGTCCTCCCATTTGTCCTCATCTCCTTCATCGTACTTATTTGCACCCAGCTGGCGGTTGATCCTCTTCCAATGGGTAGAAGACACGTCGGCAGTATTAAAAGTATTGTCGCTTAAAATCTCCAGCAGTTTAGCATAGTCACCTTGCGATTTTTGAATCCCCTGATTCCAGTACCAATCGCCAAGCTGAAAGGACGAGCGATTGGGATAGGGATGGTACTGGGAGTCACTGCTCGACGCAGCAAATGTAGGAGGTTCTTCAGTGACAGGAAGACTGCCTGGTATAAACGAAAGGTCTGCGAGTGTGACATATTCTTCCAGATCGTGGGATGGAGGTTCCGAAGAGAAGTATTGGCGCACTAGCCCAAATATATTTGGGGGGGTACGAAAAACCTTGCGCGTGGGTAAGGCAGGTCGTTGATCTGTAGTGACTACAGATCCAACAGATTCCGGAGGTTGGTCTCACACTTCCATAGGTACTGTAGGCGGAGATTGAGGAAGCACATCCCTGAATCTCAGAGGCAGCTGGCGGTTTTGACGTCTTGTTCTCCGCTGTGCCAAACTGACTTCCTCCCCTTCATCAATGTCTCCTCCTTCGAGATCTGGGGTCACGATCCCTCCTCCACAAGAGGTCGATTGGGTAGGCAGAGGAGCTACACCAGCATCACAACAATGAGTCGCCATTGAAGTACCGACATCACCCGGGCTGAAGTGAGCGGTGAGCACATTGGACATGCTCGGCGATCCATCATCCTCAACAAGGCCAGGTGAGGTACGCGCTCTTTTCCTGCGACCTACGAACTCCTTGAACGAGGTGATAGCTGATGACAATCGTTTTTTTGTGTGCGAGCACGAGCACTTATGTGTGCTCAAATAATTCTGTGCTGTGAAAGTTCACTTGCAGATGCAAGTGTAGCTTGATACCGACATGGAGGGCTATTCGAAGTATGCCGTCTGTCTTCGATTGGTTTTAAACGAAGTGTCGATGAGATAGTGCGCCCATAGCCAAATCCGCTGGAAATGATGAATGGAGCAGGCGGCAATTGCCATATGGTTCGTCCATAGCCAAATGCGCACAGGCGATGGCGTGGCTATCGCCATATTGATATGGGCAGACATACGGTCGCCTATATAAACCCCGAGAACCTGAGTCCTGTTCCCCATCTGTATAGCCTGAGATGTCAGTGCCGCCCTCTCCATGCTCCGAATGTTCAACACTCTCACCCATAGAATTCGAAGCTGACCCTAACGTTGTGAAGTTGCTGGTTCGGATCATTACTGCTCGCCATGGTATACTTCAATACCATGCTCAAATGGGGGAACTGTCAACTTACCCATGGTGAATTCAATATTTGCATCGACTTGGTCAGTGCTTGACTCACTGATTGAACTCGCCTTACAGGCCAACTAACCGACATGGGCGTAAAATCCACCCTTCACGATTTGCGGCATATCGTGAGGCGCACGTCTTTCGATATCCATGTTGTCTTTGTGCAACAGGCGACAGATATGTCGAGGTATCGGTGTTTCAGCGAACCCGTGGAGTATTCCGAGGGGAGTACGTTGCGGAATGCGCGACCAGTACTTGTGGTTACATGTGTAAGTTTCCCCCGCGATTAAGCATGGCGGATGGCTGATATTCAATGTAGTGAATGTTGAGAAATTCGTCGGAAAAGCCTACGTACCGACGATGTATTATCCTCGGAAGAAATAGCCCTCCTGCCCAAACTGACGGTATGTCAGAATAACTTGAATAGACAATATGTACAGGAGGGTAATCTGCATTCGTTACGTTAGCCATCTTGGTCATATGGATAGGAAGCAGACCTCACTGACGCGCGTAGTATTTGGAGTCATTTCATAGTCCATTTGACCTCTAAGGTTTCATTCACTTCTCTAATTTGTAAGCTAACATGACGCTAATGTAAGATAACATGGCGCTAATCATACTACAATAATCTCACTATAACCTCACATACTCTGTTGAGAGATGAGAGATGAGAAAAGAGAACAATTATGACGCAAAAGGAATGATATAGTGATTGACTTTCCGAATCAAACACCGCCGGCAGTACCCGAGTATCCGGGTGCAACAGTACCAGTTTCGAGCACGTCGTGCTATGTTACTGCCTTCTTTGTGGCTCTTTCCGTCCACGGCGTCATGTTACGTCCTTCGTTTGGCTAGCCATTCTTCGCAACATCACAGAAAACTCTATAGGCGACCGTGCTACGTTGCGAACGTAGTGATAACTTGTTGTTTGGAGCCAGTCTTAATTGCCTTGAACAAAGCCGCCGAATCTGCTCCATTTGTCCACGCTGAGCGCCTATCTACCCATAAATATCTACCTGAGCCTCTCATTCCCGGTGGGCCCATTTGACTCGGAGCCACTGACTCGGAGTTCGACCATGCTTTCGACAGCAAAGCGTGTTGGCAATAGAATTATAGGAAACCTTGAGCAGACAGTAACCACAATCTCCACTGAAACCTATTTGAAGGGCATCCAGGTTGTGAAAGATCCAAGGCATGAGGTACAAATCCTTACTTTTCTTCGCCCTGAGTACTCGATTTGGATTGTCTTATTCTAGGCGGTGAAATACTTGACCAGTCTTTTCCCAATCTTTGGATGGATCACCCGATACAGTAAGATACTGCATTTTCCCTTCAACTTGTGACAAGCTCAGGCTAATCATACACATTTTCAGATTTGGGATGGCTCACTGGCGACCTTATTGCTGGCCTTACCATAGGGATGGTGCTAGTCCCGCAAGGAATGTCATATGCAATAGTAATATTCTGTATAGAATCTTGTTCCCATTGATTGACAAGCCTTCGTAGCTTGCCTCGCTTCCTGCGCAGTATGGTCTGTATTTATCCTTCGTTGGCGTTCTTATATACTGTGTACGTGCACGCTACTTTGGATAATCGCGGCGCTAAATTTACTTGTAGTTCTTTGCGACTTCGAAAGATGTTTCTATCGGACCAGTGGCAGTTATGTCGCAAACCGTGGCTCAGATCATCATTGCTGTAGATGCAAAGTACCCTCATAAATGGGCTGGCCCACGGATAGCCACCACGTTGGCCTTTGTTTGTGGATTTATCGTACTCGGGTGTATATGTTGATGTTATCAGATGAGCTCCGCAACGAGAATTCTCAAATCCATACCCGCAATGCTGCTGGTCTTGCACTCAAAAATGCTCTCTCTGCCTGTGTACGTAAAACGCGTTCTTCGTGACCTGTCATGATCTTTAAACATCGCGTATAGGATTCAACAAGGCAAGACGAGTACTCTGCAAGATGGATGGCCCTCGATGTCGATGCTAGACAAAAGATCAAAGAGGCATCCCTTTTAACTCTTGCATCTCCTCAACCAAGAGCAGGTGCTGTGGCTGCCCAAGTCGTTTCTGCGATCGCAGCCGTAGAGTTACCTGTCGGCCAATGGCCAGATCTCGTTGAAATTCTTCTCGGTTTTATCAACACGTCTGATGACACGAACTTGAAGATCGCCACTTTGCAAGCTATTGGTTACATCTGTGAAACTATAGTATGTTTACCTTGTGCCACTCAACCACTTTGTCCTCATCTCGCGCCACTGAAACCGGAGGTCTTGGCATTGAGGTCGAATGAGATTTTGACGGCTGTAATTCATGGCGCTCGCAAGGAGGAGTCATCGTCGGAAGTACAGCTTGCTGCGGTCCATGCACTATTCGACTCCCTGGAGTTCATACGGGACAATTTTGACTGAGAAGTACTTTTTTTTTCAATCTCTGGCATTTGCTTTACTGATGCGCATCAGGGAGAGCGAAACTACATCATGCAGGTCGTCTGCGAAGCTACCCAGAACCCGTCAGTATCAGTCCAAGTCGGCGCTTTCGAATGTTTAGTGAAGATTATGGCACTGTACTACGACAAGATGGCATTTTATATGGAACAGGCTTTGTTTGGCGCACGACCGCTTGTTTATCCTGCCCTGAGTCCTCCTGACAGAACATACTTTCCAGCTTACTGTGATGGGCATGAAACATTCTGATGAACGGGTCGCACTGCAAGCCGTAGAGTTCTGGACCACTGTATGTGAGGAAGAGATTGAACTCGCCCATGAGGCACGAGAGGTACGCGGGATGCACAAATACTATTCAAACCAATCACGTATTCTGCAGGCTGCAGAATACGATGAGCCAAATTAGAGTCCAAGCATTTTGCCAAGGTTGCCCTGCCGGAAGTAATCCCGGTTCTTCTTAATCTCCTCCTAGGGGTTCCAAGGACAAGAGCCACTGAGCACCATCAGCTCTTTCCATAGCTTAGTCAGCAAGTAGTACGAGTTCGGTCGCATCAGTAATCATCATCTGCTTCTCTCAGCCAGACCTTGGGCGCAGACCCTTTCCCCTGCTCCAACGCCGACGAAGGTGAATGGAACCTTGCCATGAGCGCCGGTACTTGTCTCAACTACATGGCTCAAGCCGTAGCAGATGCAATTGTTCCCGCTGTCATCCCCTTCATCGAGGCACACATCAAGGCGCAAGACTGGCACCAGCGCGAAGCAGCCGTAATGACGTTTGGCTCTATTTTGGAGGGTCCTGATCCCCAGGTTCTCACCCCTCTCGTCAACCAGGCGCTTCCCCTTCTGATCGGCATTATGAACGATGAGAATCTGCATGTGAAAGATACAACAGCATGGACACTCGGACGAATCTGCGATCTTCTAATTATAACGATCAAGCCCGACGTGCATCTTCATCCTCTAATCTCGGCACTCGTCAACGGCCTTTCAGATCGCCCGCGCATCGTGACCAACTTAGGGCGTGACACGGGTCGACCCGGGTCATACCTTGTTGGGCACTCATGAACCTCGCTGATCAGATCGAAATATACCTCGACGAATATATCACTTCTGCCTCCGAGAGCCCGCTCTCACCATATTTTGAGGGGATAGTAAGCGCCCTTCTGCGGGTTACCGAGACGTCCGTACTTTTTACTTTTTTGTTGGTTCACATGACCTTCAGTCTGATCTTGTTTCATAGGACCGCGAACGAATCCAACTTCCGAACCTCTGCATATGAAGCCATCACGTCCTATGTATCCCATTCAACTACAGATTGTATTCCTGTGGTGCAAAACACCGTCATTGCTATTTTGCAGAGAATGGAACAACTTCTGAACATGCAGGTGCGTTTCATCACTGCATGATTTTACTTGTATCTTTACGTCCATTTCAAGAACCAAATCGTCGGCATTGACGACCGCAATAACTGGAATGAGCTACAGAGCAATCTCTGCAGTGTTGTCATCGTAAGCCATCATGTTCGTTATTTCGCGTTGTAGCTCATACATCCACAGAGCATTATTTGGAGGCTCAGCGGAGGCATTCAACCAATGGCAGATCGAATCATGACCCTCGTTCTCCAGCTTATCCAAGGAGCAGGAAAGACATCAACAGTGCTTGAAGATGCTTTCCTGGTTGTTGGATCGCTAGCTGCCGGTACATTTCCCTCTCGATCACGCCCACCCCGATGTTGAGCTTCTTTGCCAGCATTGGAAGCTGGATTTGCACCATACATTCAAGCTTTCTTGCCATTCCTGTATCCCGCCCTCAAAGCACATGAAAATACCCAGCTGTGCATGGTTGCTGTCGGCATCATCAGAGATATCCCACGTGCACTTGGCGATCAGAGCGCCCAGTACGCAGGCGCGTTCATGAACGTTTTACTAGAGAACCTGCAGAGCAACGTTCTTAACCGCAATGTCAAGATATCAGTACTATCTTGCTTTGGCGATATCGCGCTCGCTATTGGACCTGCTTTTGATCCTTATTTGAATACAACCATGGACGTGCTGAGACAAGCGGGCTCTGTGCAACCTAATCCTGTGAGCTGGTTTATTTCTGAACGTGTTCAGTGCTAACTGGTGCTCATTGGCTTGACTTTGATCTCATGGACTATGTCGCTCAACTACAGGAAGGAATTCTAGAGGCATACACTGGGGTTGTCACTGGATTCAAGAATACCGAGAAAAGTTTGCATTTTTCTTGTAGACTCATTTTGCCACTCACAACCGTCCCTAGCACCCGCACTACTACCTCACGTACCCAGTATCCTCGAGCTCGTCCACCAATGTCTAGCAGACGAGGAGAGATCCGATTCCATTGTGAAACTCTCCTTTGGCCTCATCGGTGACCTCGCAGACTGTTTCCCCAATGGCCAGATCAAAGAACACCTGCTAGAAGAATGGATTGCACATGAATTCCGTAGTAAGCGCGGTATGCAGCAAGAGACGAAGAAGACGCTGTGGTGGGCACGTGAAGTGAGTATTCTCCTCTCGTCTCTTCGTCTCCAAGAACATTAACCTTCCACCTCCCAGATGATCAAACGTGCGGCCGGATTGGCCTCTTGCGCATCGGCTGGATCGTGTTACAGTGACTACGTGAGCCCCCAGCTACACGACCTGCCCTCTGCCACCTTGCACGGCAACGATACGACACGATACCCGGGCCCTTGGGCCTTGATGATAGATAACGAACAGATGACAAAATAGAAGAGAAGTCCGGAAGATGCCGGATTAGGTAAGCGATCTGGATCGCTTACATGATATGACGACATAGGTCTAGAAGACCTATATATGTTATCAAGATAGAAGGCAAGCCTCGTGTTGCCTCATGTACTGATAGAAGCCTGCCTCATGCATGGTATCTCTGACTCGATAGATAAGCAGATTAGAAACCCAGCTTCAAGCTGAGCTTAGATACGATAGAGTAGCCTTATATAAGGTCGACGGATTAAAGTAGATGTTCCTTACTTTAATCCTACTGGGTTTACCATTGAAACCTTTGTCCTGCTAAAGCTACCTGCTCGACATCAGATCCGTACCTTCAGAAGGACTTGAGACCCCTTCTGCCTGTAACTCGCTATCATCGTTCACCTCCGTGAACGTACGCAACTCCTGCTCTTCTGTAGGAGCCGACCTCGGACTCTCAGCACGAGGTATCACTGTCGTGATCGTCGCTGTTAGATTATCCCAGTTCGCACGCGACACACGTCATAACAAAGGATTAAAGTCCCTTTACTGTACGCCTCCATCACAGGCTACAAGATAACTGATCGCACTTGCTGTCAACGCTACCGACACTCGTAGAACCCCGAACCTAGAAAGGATTTCATATCCCTGATCCAGGAAACCTGATCGTACCGGCCTGACCAGTCGCAAGAATATAAGAACCGTCGTCACTGTGGAAAGCTCCAAGAAAAGGATACCACGAAGATCGTAGAACCCATCTCCAATATGGCAACTACCAGAAACACCTTCGCCGCTGCGCATCTCACCGGGAAGGAGACTCGCCTCTGTTTGCGAGAGAAGAAATGTTTTGTGTGCCACATCATCGGACACAAAGCCGCGAGCTGTCCGCAATGGACCCGAACCTCACGGAGAAAGATGATCGAAGAAGAACCCCTGCGCGCTATCAAGAAAGCCGGGGCTAAGGAGGACATACGGGTGAATGCCACCCTGATCTCCAGAACGAGAAGCAACCCCATCGCGACATCTATGATCGTAGACTCTGGGGCGTGTGAGTCCTTTGTCAACCAGGACATAATCACGCAGCACCGCATCTTGACGCACCAGCTAGAGAAACCCCTGACACTCTCGAATGCTGACGGATCCTGCTTCGGAAAGAAGCCAATAGAAAGGTTTTGCAACCTTACTTTCCAGATCGATGAAAGGGTAATTTCCGAACGGTTTTACCTAGCCGAACTTGGTCCAAAAGACAAGTTCCTGCTCGGACGACCTTGGCTTATCAGCCAGAACCCCGCAATTAATTGGAAAACCGGCGTGGTGACCCTAAGAAGCACCGCAGATTCCCGAAAAAAGGAAAAAGAAATAGATTCTGATCGGAAGAAGAACGGCAAGGCGCCCCTCTTCCTGAAAGAAGAAAAGAAGGTGACACAGAAGAGAAAACGATCGGTATCCCCGACTACTCCCCGTACCTTCTCTTCGGGCACAGTACCACTAGCCCGAACGACACGAATCGCACCAGTCCACGAAGAACCGCAGGACGGAAACCCCGTCGAAACTTCAGAACCCGTACCACAGCCCACGAAAACTGTGACGAAGAAAGATTCGCTGCCAAGAATTGACCTTGCAGCGAGAAGATATGAACAGAAGAAACCGGCCACTGATCCGGAGACAACTCAGAAAAAGACTTCCAGACCGGCGCTGATATCTGACCACATTTATCCCGAACCGCCACGAACGAAGAAGATTGTACCGGCTGTTCAGCCGATGAAGATTGAAGAAGATCCCGCACCTGCCCGATATGAATTCTCGGCAGAGCCTGCACAAATCCTTGGGAAGGGACGTGCAATAATGAATGAAGAACCGCCTGTATCCAAGGCGCCCAGACTGGCCCCTGAACCAGAAATAACTCAGAGATTCGAATTTTCTGGAGAACCGATATCCGTTCTCGGAAAAGGACGAGCAGTCCGAATCGAAGACCCTCCCACCGCCAAGAAACTCAGATTCTATGAAAGTCCTGAGTCCGCAATGGAGGAAGACCCCGAACCGGCGTATTTAACCGCCGATGAACCGCTGAATTCCCTCAACCTCTCCATGACACCCGCGCACAACCCCGAAGAAGCAATGACGCTATCTTCTGGTACCGAACTCCCTCCTGTGTTACAAGAAGCCCAGGATATTTTCATCGAGCGAATCGCTTCAGTCCACGAAGCATATCGCCAGAATGAAATAAAAAAGGAAGAAGAAGACGCCGGGCCGAGTTTTGTCAGATTTATTGACATAGAAAACTCCGAGGATGACGAGGATGAAGACACAGACGTACCCTCTTCGCATGATCTGCGAATGGTAGATTCAGAAGGAAACGACTTCGAAGACGACGGCCCGCTCCCTGGCCTAGACTTCTGATTGGATTTGATTAGTCGGTGACTAATGGCTTAGTAAGGGGGTGAAATCCTCCTTTTACTTATTTTCCACGCCTACTCCACCCTGAACACTGATCACTGATCCCGAACTCGACCAACTTCTATCGTTGGTCCGGAACGACCTAAAACTAGATAAGGTCCGTAATGACCCTAAACTAGATATAGTCCGGAAAGACTCTAAACTACGATTGTCCGTAATGACATAAAACTAGACGATGAAAGGACGAACCCCGGAAAACTCCTGCAAGCTTCGGGACCCCTCACATCACTGCACTTCGACCACCCGAGTTGACCACGTATGTAAACAAAGGGTAATAGAAGACGACCTCCCCGCTGGACGACCCCAAGAAACTCCTGCAAAGCCTTGGCACCCACGCTCGGACCCGCACCTTCGACATCTGATAAAAGAACCCAGAAATGGATCTATAGAAGATAAGAAGACCAGACCTCCGGAACGAGGCTAAACTATCACGAGACGAACTCCACGGAAACTCCTGCAAGCCCTTGGAACCCTCTAGAACCCATCATGGCAATGACGACCACCCTCTGATGACGACCTGATCTTTTAACAAAGATAAAGGATGATAGTACCTATCACGGCACTTTCCCTCTGATAGCGAAGAAGAATCTCGAACACGAGTTAGCCTCATGGCTAGATGAAACGATAAGAGATAACGATAACGAAGATAAGTTTAGATTGAAACGGAGCTTGGATTGATCTGGAAGAAGGTTATAAACCCTCTCGATCCTCGAACATCTCTCCAACAAACCTCCATCATCATCATCATGACAAACTCCATCGACGACGATTCTATCAAGATGGCACTGAAGGACTCAGACTATGGATTAGTCCTCAGAATGACGGAAAACAGCGCGTTCAATGAAGCTGTTATCCTGACCCCCGCGTACTCCCAAGCGATCGACGAAATCCTTGGTGATCAAGACGCCAGAACTGCAGCGTGCACCTCCCTCACCGTCTGCATTATATGAACCACGAAGCTGCTGGAAGATGTAGCCAATCGTGTTGATCTTGATGAAGCAACTCGGAAACTTGCTATACTTCATCTACAACGGCAGATCAGAAACTTCGCACTTCACTTACTCCCCCTCGACTTCTCCGATATCACCGACCTAGCGATAAAGAAAGTTGAAGTGAAGCCTCTCGTAGAAGAACCCCGCCCGGTACGCCCGCCGAGAAGAAAAGCGGCTACCATAGAATGAACCCGTAGGACGCTCTGCAAGCGCTGCGGAGGATACGGACATCAGTTCAGAAGATGTCCAGATTATGTTTGTTGCATCTGCGATGAACTAGGACCTGACCATCTGTCGGTCCACTGCCCGCGACTCAACGGACGCATTGTGCTCCAAGAGTTTAGCGATGAAGAGAAGTTTTTCGAAGCTCTCTTAGATTGGGAGCATAACCACAAGGCACTCATGGATCTAGAACTTCGGCATCCCACCGAACTTTCCCCTGCCCCTGAAACTCCCTCCGCACCTTCTACATCCACGATAGCAATCCCTGCACTACCTGCCGCTACGATGGAAGAAGACGTTTGATGATACACAAAGCCGGTGACTTTGTGCGTAGTAATGGGGTAATGTTACAGTGACTACGTGAGCCCCCAGCTACACGACCTGCCCTCTGCCACCTTGCACGGCAACGATACGACACGATACCCGGGCCCTTGGGCCTTGATGATAGATAACGAACAGATGACAAAATAGAAGAGAAGTCCGGAAGATGCCGGATTAGGTAAGCGATCTGGATCGCTTACATGATATGACGACATAGGTCTAGAAGACCTATATATGTTATCAAGATAGAAGGCAAGCCTCGTGTTGCCTCATGTACTGATAGAAGCCTGCCTCATGCATGGTATCTCTGACTCGATAGATAAGCAGATTAGAAACCCAGCTTCAAGCTGAGCTTAGATACGATAGAGTAGCCTTATATAAGGTCGACGGATTAAAGTAGATGTTCCTTACTTTAATCCTAAAGGGTTTACCATTGAAACCTTTGTCCTGCTAAAGCTACCTGCTCGACATCAGATCCGTACCTTCAGAAGGACTTGAGACCCCTTCTGCCTGTAACTCGCTATCATCGTTCACCTCTGTGAACGTACGCAACTCCTGCTCTTCTGTAGGAGCCGACCTCGGACTCTCAGCACGAGGTATCACTGTCGTGATCGTCGCTGTTAGATTATCCCAGTTCGCACGCGACACACGTCGTAACAGATCGTCGAGTTCATACCCGTGCCAGCAGTCAGCGGGTATATGACTGGATCTGCGATAAATATAGTTGCAGGTCAGGTTCCTGCCCTCATGGGCATTACCAGGTTCAGGTAAGGGCATCATTGATTTCGAACGAAATGCAATTTGTGACATATTTCATAGTACTCGAGCTGCCACGTACGAAGTTATCATCAATACTCTCAAGGGGCTTCCCCGTACGACAATAGATGCTGCCTGGGGTCTCACAGGCCTTTTTTCGCTCTACGCAATTCACATCAATTGTAACCAATTATCCAAACGGTACCCCAGACGAGGTAAGCTGTAATCTGTGTAATCTTCCTATGACGAAACTCTTATGGTATCTTGTCCAGCCCGACTTTTCTTTTTCATCTCAATTACAAGAAATGCTTTTGTGGTGATAGTGTTGACCTTCGCTTCTTGGCTGTACTGCCGACACCGTAAACCGCCTCCGGTAAATATCCGATTGCCATCTTGGAAACTGTTCCCGCAGGATTTCAAAATGTGGGTGTCCCTGTCATCGATAGCGAGTTCGTCAAAGCCCTCGGGCCACAGATCCCTGTCGCCACCATAATTCTCCTTGAGCACATCGCCATTGCCAGATGTAAGTCACCGATCATCTGACCGTTATGCCCTTTTGACACACTACTTGCAGCATTTGGACGGGTCAATGGATACAAGATCAATCCCAACCAAGAGCTCATCGCATAGGCGTCACGAACACGCTCGGCACTATATTCCATGTGTATCCCGCTACAGGATCGTTCTCCCACTCTGCCTTGAAGTCAAGTTCGGGCGTGCGGACTCCTTTGGCTGGTGTTATCACTGCGATAGTTGTCCTTGTTGCCCTCTATGGCCTTACCCCAGCCTTTTACTAGACACAAAAATGAGGGCACGACGGTACATGCGCTCATGACTGCATATGTCTTCACCCGATGTTCCGAACCCCATCTGCACCATAAGTACTATACGGTCATAGTTCCCACACATATTAGATTAAATTTGGAATCAAGTAGATAACAAACTGGTTCCCATGTGTCTACACAACTTCAGAATCTCAGAATTTGATAAATATGTATACAGGAGTAGTTACAAGTAGTAATCAGGATTATTAGAGATAACATATTCATCTCTACGGAAAAAACTGAGTCTGTAGAAACGGCGTAAGTGATTCTGAATCCGGGCAATTGCCGGCTGGGTTTCAATGAAGATTAGTCATTCCGTATATAAACCAGTGCTCTGTAAAGATGAAACTTCTTTCCGACATTCCTACCGCGCCTGCCAGCCTGTGTCCTAACGCAGTATAGCCATTGGCAACTCTATCCCGTTAGACAAGCGCAGGTACTACGGTCTGCAAATTAAATGTGTATCTCCCACGATGGCCGCGTTCATACTAATGTACTTTTGCATTGCGGAACTCCGCGCAAGTACTTTACTTTACTATACTATACTTCATATTCCATCAGTAATAATAAAAATAACACATTTGCTAAGCTAAATTAGTCGTTCACCTCAAGTACTGAGCCTACGCGCTCGTAGGCTTCTTTTCTGCTACCACCACCTAGAACTTGGATAATTGAGTAGACTATCGCACATAGTATGTGAGGCTTTGGGTTATTTACGTGCTACAGAGATTGATGCAGCCCAGACAGAATGTCTAAACGCGCGGCATGTAGTGATGATGAGCATGCTCCCAAATGCGTCCGAACTGATGACGGTAAGTCGTGATGAGATATCGTGGTCATCTTCACTGATGAGCTTGTTTGCATGACAGTGAATTATCTAGCTGCGCCATCGCCATTGACAGATTCAGGCGCATGGGACATTCTTGAACAGTATCTCACTACGGACATGATGTACCCTCAGATGGAGGAGGTGTTTTCTGCATACCTTGGTAATCGATACATCGCGAGCGACTGGAAGGATGCCAGAGATGCGCTGTTCTCTGGTGATGGTTGTGACAGCATCGCCTTGACAAATCTTCGCGCCCTGAGAGCAAGGCACATTCTCTTGCTCTCGTCTTCATCGAGGCCGGACAGTTGTTTGTCAACTACTTCCGCTCAACTATCACATAGTCATAAGGTGTGTTATCATTTCCGATCTGATGACTTAGGATACTAAACAATAATGTAGTTGAAGTCGCATGATCGATTGTCAAGGATTTGTGTTCAACGATCGCGTAGGCGTCCCAAAGTAAGTGTGTCTTCATTTCTGATGACTTGATTACAATAATAAACAACATATATAGTCTAATCTGTACGTCTTGACCGAAGCAGAAGATGGAACAGAAGGGGAGGAGGATGACGACAATGCAGATGGGCCTTCTGCACAGTCGCCAAAGGTTGTACACATTATCGGACCGTCAGCCAAGGATAGGTTAGCTACAACATTCGACGCCCTGTTCGATAGGTTCACAGAGAACCCGTCCCTTTCATCAGAAGGGCGCCAGGCCCACCATGGTGATGCCGCCCTGTCTTCCTCTGTGATTGCACCTAGGATGTATCTCCTTCATGTCACCAGTACGTCTATTGATTTAAAAACAAACGGCACGACATATCACTCATTGCATCTCAGGAAATAGCACAGATTACATCGCTGAACAACTTCGGCGTCAAGGGTTTCATGTTACGGTGTCAATCTGGACAGCAGGCCAATTGTATGTTGTTGCAGACAGTCCTAGAACCATCACGGCATCGCTTCCAATATCACACACTTTCGCTGTCAAGCAGTATCTTCGAATTTCAGAAGATGAACGCGAAGCGGTAGAGCGTTCATGCTCCAAACTCCCCAGCCCAGCGTGGGTGAGAATCAAACACGGCAACTACAAGGGCGACATAGGCTACGTTTTGGATTCCGATCCGTTGAATCATCTCATCGCTATTTTAATTCCTCCCCGGCATTTCCCCTATCCCATGCCTGGTAGATCTGTGGCCCTACTCGACCGATTTCGCCTTCCAAATGGTCAGGCGGTTCGCGACGTGATCTGTGATGGGAAAGTTATAGGATTCTCTTATAAAGGAGAACGGTATTACAAGGGACTTTTACTCAAGAACTTTCACCGTGATCACCTAGAACTTGTCGCCTCTCCTCATGCAGATGACATTCGACTGCATATGGAATCCGGATTTGACACACCCTTCGTCAAGAAAACACTGGCTGCATTTTCCTTGCAGTTCATGCGCATAGGCGATTTGGCCAGAGTGATCGCAGGGGAACTTCGACCTAATGTAGGTACAGTCATCTCGACAGATCATGTTTTAGGTTCCGCGTGCTTGGAAACGATCTTTGATGGAAACTGAAGGTCAATTGACGTTCGACTCGAGGATGTGGAACATATTTTTTGTGTCGGCGACGACGTTTGAGTGGTAGCAGGTCCATACCTGGGTTTGGAGGGGCAAATCATTCAAATTAGCGATGATTTATTTCACATTTGCCAAGGAGTCTCTAAAGAAGAAGTAAGACTTATGCAATCAATATCAAAACAATCTAACACTCGTTGCATAGGTACTTGTTTCGAGGTACTATTTAGACCGTTGCCCTTTGCATCACATCCTCCATTCATCGCTGCCCACGCAGCAACACCTATACTCGCCCCCTGAGTCCGAATCTCTGCAAGTCGGGGATCATATTGAAGTGCTTGCAGGCGAGCACTGGAAGAAATGCGGCATCGTGGAGTGGATTCCAACGGGGGGAACCATGTTGTGGTTTCGTGATGCGAGCCCTGTCTTGGCTGGGGATGATGTGGAGTCTGGTGTCGGACCATTCAGAATCCAAGTTCCTGTAACCATTGTTCAGCGGACCAAGCTCCCCAATACGCTAAGATATACAAAAGACAAGGGCTATGACGTGAGGCCTGGAGACGTTGTGTGTATCGCCCATGGGCCAGACTATCAAAGCAAAGGGGTCGTACAGAGCGTCGACTTTCCAAACGCTCGTTTGACCCTTCTATCTGATAGTGATCACTCCCTCGTAAGTATCAAACACATCGACTTGAGCATGTCTGACCTGCCGCAGATTGATGTCCCTATCACCTTCGTAATCAAGAAATCCAACGTGAGCTTGGATTCATTCAACAAGATTATTGGCCATGAAGTTTTCATTGTTGGGGGCGACCGAAAAGGTTACCGAGCTACACTACACGACGTCGCTTCCGACACTTGCACTGTCGCTGTGCACGGGCAGGCGCGCACTACTCTTAGACGCCAGGACGTTGTCACCAGGTGAACGCCGCACCAATATTCGCGATGACTAAATTGCTAATGATTGTTAGTTATGGAATGAGATTAAATGGTGCTATATTGGAAGGTCCAGATTTGATTTCCTTCTGCGACATCCGGAGAAGATCGTACACGACGACGCTGCAACATCGAAGCATTACCCCCCCGCCCGTCCGACTTCCATCTAGCTCATCAGGCAGAAGCCTGTCATCATGGACCTCCTGGGCCGCCGACCCAGAGGGTATTGTAGACCATCCTTTATCGAGTGTCACTCCCAGCTCGTCGACATTTGATCCCTGGATTGTCAATCCCGAGGACACTCAAGATAATATTGACACCAGAGCGGTGTCTCTCCAAGACAGTGGTGAGTACCTCGGTGGAGGAATCAAATGTTTACTCATGTTATTTTATTGCAGGCCCGTTGCCTTGGTTAATGAGCAAGGAGTTTTCCTCAACGTTCCTTTTTCATCACGCGGTATTGAAAGTCGGAGTGGGCTTCATGGGAGGCAGGTTACATAAACGATTTGTGTCGACGGCTTGCCCTGACCCTTTTTGCGGTGCTAACGGACCCGCACCTGAAAATTGTGTTGCTGTATTCTGCACATCTAACAATGCAGGCGCCGCGATTCAACATTACCATATCCCCTCCAAAGATTTGAGCCCAGCTTATCCACGCAAAAAAAATCAACGGGTTCTCGTTCTAGACGGGGATTCTTGTGGTCAGATCTTTACTGTCACAAAGTGTAATGTCAAAAAAAATACTGTTGAAGTTGCACTTTCACCTATGACTTGTGTTATTCTGTGTTTCGAGCAGATATGTCTTGTAGAACAGGCACAAAACATGATGTGATAGACTATGACCATACTATACTTCAGTAGTCATGAATTTAGTTTTTCGCCACATGATACGTCGCACGGGCCCCCATGGATTTTGTTAGACATCTTATCTCGCTCTTCTTTCAACCTTCACATGTCATCCCAGGCCAAGAACTCTGTAGAGAAGCCGGGAGAGGGGGCACCTAGGGGAATCTGACCAAGGTCGGGTACATGGATGCCATTAGGCATATGACGCTCCAGGTTGTCGGCACGGTAATACTCTTCCAGCCACCTATACCTGTACGTCATAACCCTATCTGAGAGGTATGCGATATTCTCTTCCGCGTTTCTGAGCTGTTCTTTGACTTGATGCAGCTCAAATTCTGTTTCGTGTTTAAATTGTTCGCCGACGCCTAGGTGGGTCTTTTGTTAGACAACGGACAGGTCTAAATTTAAAATCTCACTTTTACTTGTAGTTTGCGTTGCTCTATTGCCTGCATGGTGGGTCTTGTTCTGAGTTTTTTTGTAATAGTATCACTCACTTGCTCTCAGTGCCGATTGGTATCTGTACTGGGGGGAGTTGGAAACTTCAGGTGAACCTTGTAAGTTTCGTACTGTATACCACATTGAAGAACTTACCTTAGCGTGATATTAGTTGCGACGAGAATACACTGTTTCAAACGCTTCTGCGACGTGAAGTCGAGCATACCAAGTCCCACCGATAATGATATTGATTGCTGCTGTAATAGCGCCAGTGATTTATCTACATATATATATACGTGCGTGCCAGTTTCACTGCTAGATGATATAATGCGCCATCCAAGATACTTATGGCTCTAAGACGCTAGTGTTCGCTTCCGTTCCGATTTGGATGGCACGCTCGGATGGCGCTCGCATATTGCGCCATCTATGCCATTTTGGTAGGTGATAGTGTTCACTTCCATCCCGATTCGGATGGCACGCTTGGATGACGCTCGCATATTGCGCCATCTATGATATTTATGGCATAGGGTGCTGGTTCACTCCCGTTTCAATCCTGATGGCATACTCGAACATATAAAGTCTCGTTTTCTGGTGTTGTGAGAGCCATCTGTTCCTTCAACTTAGTATGAGCGGCGATGAGAATAATCCCCACATTTGCAGCTCTTCACGCAAACGTAGTGGTTCTGCACTTTATATGGGCCCACGTAAAAAAGTGTAAGCCATGTTTCACGTCGTGAAATGCACCACTATTGACGTGTCCTAATCAGTACCTCATCAAATCCCCTCGTTCTCCATGGTCGACACTTCGGTTGAACAGTATTTGCACTATGCAATTATCCCTCTCTCCTAACTGGAGGCATTCTTCGGCTCGAAGAGTTACAAGACTCTTCGATAGAAGATTATCCAGCTGAGTATGTGGAATGGTGCCGATTGAATATTAGTAGTGTCTTACATTAATGTTAACTTTAGCATTCGACGTGAACATAGGGTGTTTATGGAGCTTGTAGATTCCTATCCTGGTCTCTTAGAGCGTCTGACAGCTGGCGAGGAGGAGGACATCATTCATGTCGGAGAATTGGTAAGTCTTGCATGCTTAAAGGTGTATTCGTAGTCACCTCCCTGTAGATGGGCAAAGGAGTGTCTGGTGCGCGAGGTGACGACACCAAGACGCTTAAATCTGCCGTCATCGAATGGCTTATGCCCCGAGGACAGCCACTCATACCGCCCCTCTCCCAAAATATTAAATCCGACCGTGGATTCAATCACGAAGTGACCGATGCATTGCTCTGCCCTGCAGACCTTGACTGGTCGAATGCAGAGTAAGTCTTTCCATCATTCAATAAGTTTACTGTCATAATATTACACAGAACCAAGCAGAGCCTCAAAAGCGGCGAAACGGCGGTCCGTGGTGACCAATGGCCTATGTTTTTGTATGCTGGGTATGTCTACGATCCTGAAGCTCCATGGCAGGGTCTATTGAGGAGCGACATACTTGTCTTCGTAAGGTCATTATTAGCGGTTAAGTTCTTACTAAATGCCATTTCTATTAATAGGGTTTCAAACACGTATTTACCTCTCCAAGTTCCGTGGAAAAGGAGCCAAAAGCCATGCGCTCCGGTAACGCATACCTCCACGGGATGAAATCTGTAATGAAAGGATCCCTAGCTTACATTGCCACACAGGTGCATTGGAAGTTTTATAATGATCCCCCACTCACTGTTACCCTAGGTTCGGTTTTCATTAAGCTCTTCATCAGTATTTTCACGCACGGACACGGTCACGGACTCGGAAACCTTCTACCACAGTATTCTTGATCTTTTGGAGGATCCTGACGAATGTGAAGAAGTAGCCGACCTGATGACTTGGTGGACACGGTTTGTGATGCATCTTTAATCTTCGAACTCTACATTAACACCTTACAGTCGCATTTTTCCTAATTCCTCCTCTTCACAGCGAAGCACCAGCAAGAACAGCGTGCTATCAAAAATTCGCGAAAAACGCACTGCTCTTCGAGCACGGGGCAATACTAATTAGTTGTTCACAATGTTTGATGCTGTTATATGTGTGCTCTGTAGTAAATAGATTTCAAATGCAATTGATGATTCTTCGGCCCATGCAATACAATGGATCACTCCGCCAGAATGTGTATGTTTGCCAAAATATTGGCAACTGGGTACGATAAGATAACTTGTCATTATATCCTAGGCACATAGTTATTAATGGTGAATTCTACCATCAGAAGCCATACCTGTAAGGGTTTGTATATTTGACAAGATATTGGCAGCTAGCTGTGACATAATAGCTCATTGTCGTATATTGCCACACAGTCAATGCTGGTAGATACTGCCATCAGAGCCTACCTATCTTAAGCTAGACATATGTGGTGAAAACCCACAGTGTGCTATGACATGAAAACTCAGTGTCACATATTGCCACACTGTTGGTGATGGTAGATGCAGCCACTGAAAGATACCTATCTCAAGCTAGATATATGTGGTAGAAACCCAACAGTGTGCTATGGCTTGATAGCTCATTGTCCCATGTTGTCACACTGTTGGTGATGGTGGATGCTGCCACTAAAAGATACCTATCTAAAGCTAGATACATATGGTAGAAACCCAACAGTGTGCTACAGCTTGATAGCTCATTGTCCCATATTGTCACACTGTTGGTGATGGTGGATGCTGCCACTAAAAGATACCTATCTAAAGCTAGATACATATGGTAGAAACCCAACAGTGTGCTACAGCTTGATAGCTCATTGTCCCATATTGTCACACTGTTGGTGATGGTGGATGCTGCCACTAAAAGATACCTATCTAAAGCTAGATACATATGGTAGAAACCCAACAGTGTGCTACGTCTTGATAGCTCATTGTCCCATGTTGTCACACTGTTGGTGATGGTGGATACTGCCACTATAAGATACCTATCTAAAGCTAGATACATATGGTAGAAACCCAACAGTGTGCTATGGCTTGATAGCTCATTGTCCCATGTTGTCACACTGTTGGTGATCATGGATGCTGCCACTAGAGTCTACCTATCTAAAGCTAGATACATATGGTGGAAATCCGACAGTGTGCTATGGCTTGATAGCTCAGTATCACATGATGGCACACTGTTCGTGATGATAAATGCTGCCACTAGAGTCTACCTATCTAAAGCTAGATACATATGGTGGAAATCCAACAGTGTGCTATGGCTTGATAGCTCAGTATCACATGATGGCACACTGTTCGTGATGATAAATGCTGCCACTGGAGTCTGCCTATCTAAAGCTAGATACATATGTGGAAACCCAACAATGTGCTATGGCTTGATAGCTTATTGTCCCATGTTGTCACACTGTTGGTGATGATAGATGCTGCCACTAGAGTCTACCTATCTAAAGCTAGATACATATGGTGGAAATCCGACAGTGTGCTATGGCTTGATAGCTTAGTGTCCCATGTTATCACACTGTTGGTGATGATAGATGCTGCCACTAGAGTCTACCTATCTAAAGCTAGATACGTATGGTGGAAATCCGACAGTGTGCTATGGCTTGATAGCTCAGTATCACATGATGGCACACTGTTCGTGATGGTGGATGCTGCCACTGGAGTCTGCCTATCTAAAGCTAGATACATATGGTGGAAACCCAACAGTGTGCTATGGCTTGATAGCTTAGTGTCCCATGTTATCACACTGTTGGTGATGATAGATGCTGCCACTAGAGTCTACCTATCTAAAGCTAGATACGTATGGTGGAAATCCGACAGTGTGCTATGGCTTTATAGCTCAGTATCACATGATGGCACACTGTTCGTGATGATAAATGCTGCCACTGGAGTCTGCCTATCTAAAGCTAGATACATATGGTGGAAACCCAACAGTATGCTATGACTTGATAGCTCAGTGTCACATATTGCCACACTGTTAGTGATGGTGGATGCTGCCATTACTAGCAATTAGTGTAGGCATAGATACATCTAATAGAAAATAACAGTGTGCCACTAGATCACAACTTGCTACATAGTTCCACCAATATTGTAGCTTTGGTAGATTCCACCATGGTAGTCTGCCTATCTATTCCTTTATCTTGACATCTGCAATTGTGATATATATTTGTTATATTATGTATTAGATAAATCTATCTATAGCTTTGCCATTGGGCAGTCAAATGCCTGATGTATGCATTTCTGCTTCTCAACCTCAGATCTACTGATTGTCCCATCCTCGGTATTAAATGGCACGGCCGCACAATTTTGTCAACATGGATTACAGCAGCGTTGCGGCGAAGTTGGCGGGTTGAGCGCGAGACCTGTTGCATTCGAGAGGAAGGGTCGGGTGGTTTGAAAGGTGTGAACCACTCAACATAAGCGAGGGCTCTGGAATATGCGCCGAACTGGTGAGGTAGAGTGAAAATAGCGCGAACTTGTGCTACTCGTACACCTGCAGCCAGACTGTTAACAAAATTGACCGCTGAGAAACTCAGCAAAAAAATACCCTCAAGAGTATGCAAATGCGAAGAGCGAGGCCTGTCTGCTATCAACGCCATGTCAAACTGGGCTGGAGTACCAGGCTTCCGGCCTGATGGCAACTTTTCTGGAGTTGCTCTGATGCGCCTTCGCTTTGGCACATCGCTAACTCGTAAATCTGGCGGCATTACAATCACCACTTGACGATAAAGATCGAATCAGTCTTGAAGACCAGGGACTATGGTGTTGTGCGGGAGATTCTTGAGTAAGAATGATTGGAGAGCAGGGAGGAACTCGGTAGCACCGTGTGCTGTTATGATGGTTTGAACGGATTGGTGAGGATGCGCGGGGACTTTTGCAAGGACATGGCTTGCTTGAAGTGGTTCAGCAGCGGGAAGATTTGGTGTTTCCGATTCCGAGTCCATGTCTGAATCTGCATCGAAGTCATGTGGGTTTGAGTGAGGCTGTTGTGACAACCAATCCAGGTATGTGCTACGTATAAACACGGCTTCCTGGCATTGGAGCCACAAAGCCATTTGTTCCTCGTAGTCCCGTTTATTGCTAGCACGGTATGAATCCTTTGCGAAATCAATGTGCAAGCGCTCGGGAAGTTCGGTGTTAAAGCCGTCAGCTGCGCCTAACAATGTGATGGACTGCACATAATGAGAGAGCTGGTGTAATTTTGGTATGTTGAAATGCTCTCGAACAGCGAGCTCCTTGAGGATGTCTTTATTTGCGTGAAATACAGTCAGGGTGGTTTGTAGGGCTTCGAGGGACTCAGTCGTCTGAATGTGCAGCTGGGCATGATACGAGAAGTTGAGAATAGATCGTGCAACCACCAAAACACGACTGCCAGGCATGACATCAAAACATCATCTTAATGACTCAATAAACACTCACCTAGGTACTGCCCCGCTCAATAAGCCAACAAATACTCTCTGCATCTCTTTATGTTCGCACCCTGTCCACTGCTTCACACTCGATATCCCTTTCTTGAAGTGTCGAAGGCCGGGATAATTCGGGATCGCCTTGAAATGTGCGTCGATCTCATCCTCTCCGATAATATCGATGCACCACTTCACAAGGTGGTCTTTGAAGACACCTTTGTGAAGTTGATGCAGAAGGTCAGGTGTGAAAGCTAGAAAAATGTCTGCATGAGGCAGATCAGCCCAGAAAGGCTTGTAAACGGCGCGTAGACCATTGGCCTCAAATTCCAGAGGATGCTGACCAATCTTGCGCTTGTGCAAGATTTCTTTTGTTGACTCTGGATCATGCATTGCCGAGTTAAGTGCATCCCCTCGGTCATTTGCGGCTACAAGGCACTTCGGACATCGGTTCTCTTTGCAACAACTGACCAAACACTGTTCCGGGAAATCGGCGACATACGCTGCAAGAATTGGGTAGATATGACGAACCCACAAGTCCGCACACACCATTTCGACACCGTCGTTTCCAGCACCGATGAGAGGTTGGAGCAGTAGAGCCATGCAATGGTGGAAGAGGCGGTATCCAGCCAAGGAGCGTGCATCGGGGGTGAAACAGTCAAGTTTGCTAGCTGGTAAGTAACCAATGAGAACGGTTGCTCGTGCTGATGCTTGGCGCCTTTTTGCTTTAGCGATGTTTCCAATGGACATGTACACTGGCCATGCCGACTTATCCCCTCGGAACTGCGACAATGACATTTTGTCTGAAGATAGAATGATTGGTGCTATCGTTGCACCCTCTGGCAAGGCATTCTGTGTGCGAGGTCAGTCTGTTGCTTTGTCACTCCCTCTCAAATAGTCTTACCTGTTTCTCGCCCCACCAGTCTGCTGTCCACATCTCGTCGATGACTCTATGTTGCCCCGCACAGTCTGCATATGCTTTGGCAGGTGAGTACGCCATATGTTCTTTGAAGGCCAGATTGCCAATGAGCTCTTTCACGCATTCTACAGGGTCCCGGCTCCACAATTCAACGTCTTCTTGCAACATTTCGCCTTTATCATCCTTGCAGTTTCCACGCACAGTCACCTTTTTACAAGTCCATCCTGGCCCGCGTGGAAGTTTATCCACACGCTGCAAGAATGAGCGGTTGTTATGAAATGAAAGTTTGCTGTGGTTTTGTGTCTGGTTACTAGGGTATCAATATTGTAGGTTCAAATTTTGATCAACGCTGTCAAACTTACTATGGGCAGTTTCAGGAATTCTTCGGTCCGCGTCTGACCAAGGTTCTTGACGAGCCAGTGGGCCAGATCCCACTCTTCCCTGGTGAGTGATATCTATTTAGTAGATGCTTTGCCAGCGCATTCGAGCACTTACTTGTCCTCAAAAGGCGACCATGGATCCTCACCCTCTTCCTCTTGGTATGTTCTATATTTTTCAAAACTCATCTCCCCCTCATGCAGTGCCCAGCCAGCATCCGTCCGAGGTTCAAAATATCGGCCGTTATTGGTGAACGACATCCCATCTTCATCTTCGACTTCCTCAACTGTAACACGACGAGTCTTGCTGAGCGCTGGGTTATCGTCCATATCTGGAGACGGGCGCGGGTGAACATGGCCTGGAGCTGCATCTTGATGGGGGAAGTCAACATCTGGTGCGTTGTCTAAGTTCTCTGCCTCTACTTCTTCGATCATTGATTCATACTGCGTTCGACATTCAAGACGCCCTACAATGTGTCTCTTGAGACCCTCGTGTGTAGTTGTTACCTTCCCACAGAATACACAGTGGGGCATGCTGGCTTGTCTGGTGCGATTGACAGTGCGATTGACACGAAACTCGTGTCAAGTCATGTTGTACCGGCCCTAAGTATCTTGACGCCACAAAAATGGAAAAAACACGCTAACACTATCCTGTCCAGGCTCAAACCACATTCCAGAAGGTCGACTCCTTCACGCTAATGCTATCTTGTCCAGGCTCAAACCGTGTTCCAGAAGGTCGACTCCTTCAATCAGATTATATTCAAAGTTCCATGACCTCCCGCCATTCGACACAAACTGCGACCAAAATTGGACTCGGACTATATTTGAAGTTCCATGACCTACCGCCATTCGACTGGCATACACAAACCGCATTCCAGAAGGTCCTTCTTCTTGGACTTGCGGAGACCAAAATCGGACTCGGACTATATTCGAAGTTCCATGACCTACCGCCATTCGACTGGCATACATGTAAGCATCTTCAATCTACCTATGGTACTCGCCTCATTGGTGCCCGGATCTAGTTGTGGCGCAGCGCCTGGTTGTTGCTGCGCCCAGTTTGAGTTTAGACCAGGCTGACCCTCAAGTGAGTCCTCATACCGGCCCTAATTGTGACTAACACAAAAGTCATTTGCAGTGATGTGACCCTTGCAAGTGACTAACTACTGTCATGGATGCAGTTCATAATATGGAGATTGACCTGAACATCATTGAAAATAAAGGTGACCCACACGGTGCGCCCTTATTCCAAATGACACTTGACTAAAACTAACTGACACTAAAACTAACTTGGCTAAAAGTAACTGACAACTAAGCTAGGGTAGTAATGCCATGAGCCGCAAGTAAGAGCTCCAAAAGTTGAACCTTGTGTGACTCCTCACACCGCTTTTTTTCAGCATTCCATTGCACCTTTATCATCTCCCGCACCAAATTTTGGTGAGCAGCAGGACCTTGTATGTGCTCTGAGAGCTGCGCTCTGCATGACTCATCACAAAGCCTAATCTCTGCATCCCAGCGCTCTAGGACAAGTGTTCGCAGGTAGGTCTGCGAGGTTTTGATGGGTCCTGGAGTTTGGCGATATGGCGCCAATGGAAACTGAATATCAAGAGCAGGCTTAACCTCTCTTGGTGTATGAGGTACCTCCCTAGCCCGCCCCAGAGCAACGACCGCGTGAAATGGTTGACTTGGAGGAGGTTTCAATAACAAGATGTTCGGCTTCATGTCGTCTGATTCGTTCGACGACATGAACGCTGAACTACAACATCGGTGAGTGTGAGGCGAGCATTGGAGAAGGCAGCCACTTACAATTTATTCATTTTGGCTGTAGTATCAATTTCGCTGTAGTATTGATTGTATGTTTGAAAGGAAAGTCATCCCCGTCCCTCTTATTTATGCCAATATATTGACACCGCTTGGTCAGTTGAAAACTTTAACTTCGTGATCAACAAAACTCAAAAATTGTTTGTTGATTTGATGCCACTGTAGGGTTTTTAAAGGCATGCATACCCCCTCCTTCTGTCGTTGTTGTTTCTACTGACTACTGTCTATTATGCCCGCAAAAGCCCCCTCCAAAAAGGGAGGTAAAACAGCACTTTTGAAGGCCCAGGAGAACCTATGTGCAGAGATGGTGTCGACCGCGGGACGCACCGCAAGTGGTCGGCAACGTTGGCCAACCGAAAAAGAAACATATCGAAGTAAGTTATATCAAGCCCAACATGAATGCTCGCGCTCACTTACATGTTTCTGCTCAACAGTTTTAAAAGCTCATTGAGGAGAAGAACGCCAAAAGGCCTTAGAAATGAAGATGAAGAAGCACGACTTAAAGGCACTGCGCACTACATACCGGACACATCCCGAGGTATTCGACAGCAAGCCTGCTGGGCTTCTCAGTGATGCTGACATGGACGAAGACAACATGGTCAGTGTCTTATTTGTCCAGGCGCTCCATGTCACTCACAACTACATAATAGTTTTCGGACCGCAGTGTACCTACAAGACTACCTAATCAACAGGCGCTCACATACAGTATGAGCAAGACCCCTCCAACTGTCTTGGCCCGAAATCCCACAAGTAAGATCCATACAAAGCCACAGAAAGGTACTATGTCTTGTCCTGTGTGTATCTTGAACTAACACACTTTTTCAGCGTCCACAACTGTTGTGTCTTTGCATAACGACAGTGACAGTGAGGGCAGCAGCAACAGCAACGATTCGAACAACTTTGTCGATCACATGGACCAGGACGACACTGAGATTGTGGTGCGGACAACACTCCCGATGATCATGACGAAGTGGCCAAAGCTTCTTCACCACTGGTTGTCAGCACCAAGCACAAACTGGAGGACTCAAAGGTCCTCAATACTGACATGAAGTTCAATAAAGGTCCAGACTAGTGCCTCCGAAGTCCGGTCCCGAACCTAGGTTCGAACTCGAACCTTTGCGGACTGGACCATTGGTTCAGTCACAGGTCCGGTATTTCTGCTGGACCGAACCCCCTAATAGGTCCGAGGTCCGGTATTTTCCTGGAGCACGTGAACCGGTCCAGACGCGTCCGGACCGGTTTGAACCTGATGTATTTTTATCCAACTTAGATTCTCAAACCGGCAACGAAGCCTCATGTTTTTGGTAAGGTTTTCTGTTTAAGCATTGTGCTTGCCCGTCGCTTTACTGTCTTCCCCCCCTTCTAGCCTACTTGCAGTAACTACATTGCCCTCATCCGTGTTATTCTCTTGGTCTCTTCAGCAATGCGACTTATCAAGGTGCTGGTACGTTCACAACACGTTCACTGTTTGTTGTTGCTAACTTCTAATGCCATTTATTTCAGGACATACTGTCCGCACTTTTGATTCACCACACTGCTGTTCTGGCATTTGTTCACACTCCGGCATTTTCTGGTGCGGAATGTTCGTGTATCAGGGCTTTATGGTGCGCAATCATTTTGAATTTAGTTACAATATACTTACTTGTTGTATAAGTTGGCCATTTTCACTCCCTGCTACCGCTACTGCTGCCACCATGTCCTCCGCACGTCGTGTTGATGGTTCGCTGAAAGATGCTAGCGAGATTGATTGGTACAATGATGCCGATGATGACACTCCGATGCTTCCTCCCCCTCCCCCCCCCTGCGCACAATGGCACTCTCAGCTCTTTCATACGTCGTTCGGGTCGTGCTGTCAAACCTACGGAGAAGGTCCGTGAGACTGCCAGCAGCAATTCAGCCAAACGGTCAGCTCCAGGACCTCCTCGAGGTGCCCCTGCACCCAAGCGAGCATTTACTGGTACTGATGAGGACGAGGACGCCGAAGAAGAAGCCCCACCACTCGAGGATTTCATGGACGATGAAGAAGAGAACGAGAATGTCAAGCACCATTCTATCCAGTACCCGACCATCTCCCGCATCGCGAAGGATTACCTTGCCATCCAGGGATCCGCAGTTGCGTCCGAGCGTGCATTTTCAAGCGGCGGCATTACTGGGACCGCACGTCGCAGCTGTTTGCAGCCAGCAACATTCGAGGCTCTCCAGTTGCTCAAGAGCGCATACTGTCAAGGCCATATTTCTGCAACATCCCAGGCTGAGTTTGCTGCTCCTTACGATAACTGCGTTGTCGTCGAGGAAGAGTTTTAGTAGTTATTTGTACTAGCAGGTTTTGTTCTCATTTTTTGTCAATTTTAATTTTTTTTGCAATTTAAACAACGGTTCGAGAGTTCGAACGTGTTCTGAACCTGAACTGAACCCTTCCGAACGCGTTCAAAGGCATCCGGTCCAAGGTTCGGCCACCATGCCTGAACCTGACCAATGGTCAAGTTCAGGGTTCGCAGACATAGGGCCATGAACCTGACCGAACCGGACTTCGGAGGCACTAGTCCAGACGGAACACGCCAACGATTAAAGGCCAGCGATTTCGATGACGTCACCAAGGATTTGCTCACCACTGCCACGTCTATCTACCGCTGTCTAGTCATGACTTGTGCACCTTTTCCAGAGACACTAATCATTGAGACCAAGCTAGCAAAGGATGCCTGGCATGAGGCGTCTAACATGGCAGAGCTTACCATCCAACTGACCCCTTCTCTCGTCAAAATGGTACGTCTTGTTGGAACTAGACCAAGGTCTCAGCGGACGTGTAAGACAACGCTGAATTGAATTTACCTAGACCAAGGTCTAGGTCGTACGTTAGCAAAGCTGGATACAAAAGAGTAGTGGTATACGTACCTCAGCGGACGTGTAAGACAACGCTGAGGTATCGCTGCGTACGAGCAAGATATTTAAAGGTAAGCAATAGAAGGTTCAAGACGGAGAGAAGCTGCCGAGAAACATATGGTGCTGAAGCTGACAAGATACGATAAGGATCGGAAAAGGAAAAGAAGACAAAAATGGTCCCGGAGGCTAATCCTCCGGGACTGGTACCATGCGTGTGTGTCCGACTCGTATCGTCCAACGCCCAACTCGTACCATCCAATACTCAATTCATCTGACCCATATCGTCCAACACACCCCCTCAGCGAGACACCAGATGAAGGCCGGGCAGATGTTTTTCGAAGAGAGGTCGAGGGAGAGCTTTCGTGAAGATATCCGCGGTGTTCCTGTGAGAGGCGACCCATTTGAGTAGGAATGTTCCTTTCTCAATATGTTCCCGGATGAAATGGTATCGCACGTCAATGTGCTTGGAACGGATGTGATTGCGTGCTTCAGTTGATAATGAGATGGCGCCAGTATTGTCCATGAAGATGACGATGGGGAAAGGAAGATGTACGTGAAGCGAGATGATGAGCGACTTGATCCAGAGGCCTTCTTGTATGACGTGCGTGACCGCCATATATTCGGCCTCTGTGGATGAGAGAGCATGAGTCGTCTGTTTTCTTTGAGACGTGGGCTATGATGCCCCCGTCATAGTACCATACGTAGCCCGAGATTGACAACCGGTCAGAGGGTGAGCTAGCCCAATTGGCGTCACAGTACGCGTGCAGTTCATCGTTTGCGCCGGCACCCCCATACTGTAGGCGAAGGTTGATAGTACCAGATAGATAGCGAAGTAGTCGTTTCGCAGCTGCATAATGTGCTGGGAGAGGGCTTGAGTTGTGTTGTGCAAGGGAGTTGACGGTGTATGAGATATCTGGACGGGTACAAATGGCGAGATACAATAGTTCACCGATGAGCTTGTGAAAGAGGGTGGGGAGATTGGGGATTGTGTCATGGACGGCGTCTGGTCTGCCGAATGGATGATGTGGGTCAAGAGGGAGACGGACTGGGTTACATTCAAGGAGGTCGTATTCTTCCAGTAGGTAGGTGATATACTCGCTTTGATGCATCCACAGCTGGCGCGTGTTACGGTTTCGTTTGAATTGGATACCGATGAACTTGGTGACTGGTCCCATGTCTTTGATGCTGAAACGCTGATGGATCTTCTGTTTGACCCAGGTTAAGAAAGCCGGCGAATTAGACGTTCCCATCCCGTCGTCGACGTGGAACCCAATAATGCAGAGTATACGGGTGCCGGAGGTGCTGCTGTCGAAAAGGAACACTGCGTAGTCGACGGGACACCGAGTGAAACCCAACTCATCCATCACCTCCCTCACCTGCTCGTACCATTCCATGGCGGACTGCTTCAATCCGTAGATTGTGCGAAGCATCCGCCAGACCTGTACCCTCCAATCTCCATGTTCGAACCCCTTGGGTTGACGCATGTAGATCTCCTCTTTAAGTACTCCCCAGAGGAAAGCGCGCGTGGCGTCGAAGGAGTGAAGTTCCCAGTCATGCTTGCACGCCAGAGCTGCAATGAGTCGTAAGGATGCTGTCTTTAGTACTGGTGCAAAGGTTGCGCCGTAGTCTATGCCTGGAATTTGAGAGAATCCTTGGGCGACAAGACGCGCCTTGTAAATAGACCCGCCCTTATTGTCCTCTTTAAACTCTAAGACCCAACGGTTGCCGATTGCCTTGCGACCTTCTGGGATGGTCGCGATCTTGTAGACGTGCATCTCCTCCATTATTTGTAGCTCCTTTTTCATGGCGGTAAGCCATTCATTACGGTCAGGGCACAGCATGGCTTCTTCGTACGTCGCGGGAGGGATTGACATGTCGTAGTTGCAGTCGTTGGGATTTCTTCTTCGGTCACTTCGGATGGAGATGTGCGCGTGCTCCTCGATCATCATGTTAGCAAATGCCTCGGGGACGTCTATGTTCGGCTCAATTTCCTCCAAGTTCACCTTCTCATCTGCTTCTTCTCCTTCAGCAACCACCCCCTCGTTCGACGGAACAGGCACTTGAGCGCGGGCGGCGCGAGACTCTCGTAGAGTTTGAAGGTGTTTCTTGGTGGCGTTCATTTCAGCCTCCCAGGCCTGGCCGCCTGCAGTAGATACTTTAGTCCGAGTAGAACGTCGAATGGTAGAGACGATGAGAGGAGATTTGGGAGCTGTGGTGACTTGTGGAGGAGAAGGGACAGCGTGAGGAACGGAAGAAGGAGTGAGAGGTAGCGCATCATCTGAGTCTGAATCATTGTCCGAACGGGGCACAGAAGGCAGGTGTTCATCAAAAATGACGTCGCGTGCGACAAAGAAGGCGCCGGTGACCTGATCACGCAGGCGATAACCTTTGGTACCCTCAGGGTACCCGAGGAAGATAGCCGGTCGGGAGTGCGGGCCGAGTTTGACCTGGAGTTCAGCAGGTATTCTAGCGAAGCAACGAGACCCGAATACCCGGATATGTGAAAGGTCGGGCTTCCTGCCATTTACCAGCTCGAAGGGTGTGACATTGAGTGGGAGAGCGCGTGAGGTACTCCTGTTCCATAGGTAACAGACTGTTAATGCGGCTTCGCCCCAGAGATTGGCAGGCAACTTGGTGGCCTCTAACATCGCGAAAAGACGCCCTCCTATAGTCCGAATCGCACGCTCAGCTTTTCCATTTTGTTGATGTGCGTATGGCACGGAGAGTTGACGCTCTATCCCGGCATCCTGAAGAGCCTTAGAGAATGCACTACTCACAAATTCCCCCCCATTGTCAGACCAAAAGGCCTTAACCGCTCGCCCAGAGTGATTCTCCCAGCGTTTCCTGATAATCTCCCAGGCATCCAAAGCTTGGTCCTTCGTAGCGAGGAGTTGCAGGTTAAGCAAATTGGTGTGATCATCTAGAAATATGATGAAATGGAGTTTACCATGGGGCGTCGTGACAGGAAAGGGACCGCAAAGATTGGAATGAATAAGGTCGAGCATATGAGCTGTGCGAGGGCTGTCAGAAGAAGGAAATGGCTTTCGTGGGTGTTTGGCGATGACACACGATTCACATTGCTGAAGGGGAACCGTGGACTCTATGGTAATGCCGGTGGCCACACGAGAGAGGTGTTTGATCATGTCACCCCCTGGGTGACCCAAACGGGCGTGCCATAAGTCGAGCGACAAGGGAACACGAGCGAATGCTGAGATCTCACGAGGTGCGTGATGAGGTGAAGGTGCGGGACTATTGGGACGAATGAATTTAAGATCAATGAAGAATAGGTTCCCTATCATTGGAACTTCTCCCAGAACTTCGCCGTGATACTTAAGTTGACACCGAGCCGGCGAATGTTCGAAGTTACAAGACCACTTCTTCTTGAGCATGTGACTGATGGAGAGCAAGTTGATCATCGCCCCGGGAGCATGAAGACAATCAGTGAATGTGATGCGGAAGGTCTTCCCACCCAGTGACATTTCTGCAACGCAATCGCCGCGTCCCGAAGTGGGCAAACTGCCGTGGTTGGCGGTTTTGACCGTCACGCGTGAACTCTCCGTATAAGTCCAGAAGACACTGCGATCTGCAATGAGGTTCGACGTCGTTCCTGAGTCTAATATGGTGGATAGGGAGCTGCGCACTATGCAGGCCATGTCCTCAAAGCTGGGGTAAGACTCAGAAGGAAGTTCCTCAATGACGGCACAGCTGAGGTTGCGAGGCTCATCAGTGCTCGAGGAGGACGTAGTAGGCGAATTGGATGTAGGATCTGTGCTACTGGTGGTCGCAGCAGCGACCTCCGGTTTCTTTGCCGGTCTCTTGTCGCGAGCCCTTGTGAGAAAGTTGCCTCCCTGCCCTTCCATTCCCCCGCCTGGCTGAAAGCAATGTTCACGGTCATGTGTTAAGGACCGTGGCAGCCCAGAACATGCCGGGTTGTCGCAGCTGACGCCCTTGGGATTCGACTTATGGATTCGGATGCCTGTCTTAGAATTTGCCTTCCCATCAGGAGGTCGAGAGAACGACATAGCGTTAGCATACTCTGATCCTGGTCCGGCGAGCTTCTGCTCTCCTCAGAGGCGATTGGCCTCCTCGGAGAGTGAAGAGACGATTGCCGCGAAGGTCATCTTGGTGACTGTGGTCGTGGTGGAAGAAGAAGATGCAGTGGGGACGGATGATGAGCTATAAAGGTTCATTGTCATGCGTTTAAATATAATCCACTCGGGAGTGGGAGGGAGACCGTGCAGCAATAGGAATACCATCTCATCTTCTGTGACTACGACTCCCATCTCAGCAAAGCGACGTCTTGTGTTCTCGAATGTACTGATGTAACGAGACGTGTCGTCGACGTCTTTGAGTTTTTCCGCGAATAGCTGAGCACGGAGTTCAAACTGAGATGTTACGTCGAGACGTGCGTAATGCGTAGCGAGAGTGGTCCATTGCGCCCTGGCCGTCCAGTCCTCGCTCAAGAGACCTTGGACGACCGCTGACAACTTCCTGCAAATGATACCTTTGGCTTGTGCATCGTTTTTGATCCATTCGATTATGGTTAATTTCTCGGCGGCAGCGGGAGACCCAGGGACAGCAGGTGAAGGCATGACCACGGCGAATTCGGCGTAGTTGTTAGGATCGGTGCCGGAACTGCAGTGGTTCCATAGCCCGTCTGCCTGGAGAGCCAGAGTGACTGCTCGACGCCAAGCTGGGTATTCATCTGTGCCGGTAAGCTCGATGATGTGGTCATACTTTCCCATAGTAATGAGGAAGTTGGGACACGAAGAGAATGATTGGATTGGGGAGCGTTTCACTGGTTCATTTCGTGAGGAGGGGGGACTGTTTCCTGGTATGGGGTTATATCAAAACCCAGGGCTCATAACCTGTTGGAACTAGACCAAGGTCTCAGCGGACGTGTAAGACAACGCTGAATTGAATTTACCTAGACCAAGGTCTAGGTCGTACGTTAGCAAAGCTGGATACAAAAGAGTAGTGGTATACGTACCTCAGCGGACGTGTAAGACAACGCTGAGGTATCGCTGCGTACGAGCAAGATATTTAAAGGTAAGCAATAGATGGTTCAAGATGGAGAGAAGCTGCCGAGAAACATATGGTGCTGAAGCTGACAAGATACGATAAGGATCGGAAAAGGAAAAGAAGACAAAAATGGTCCCGGAGGCTAATCCTCCGGGACTGGTACCATGCGTGTGTGTCCGACTCGTATCGTCCAACGCCCAACTCGTACCATCCAATACTCAATTCGTCTGACCCGTATCGTCCAACACGTCTCGTGTCTGCGTCCTTGCCCTACTTGATTTTATTTATGTTGCATATAGATGACGAGGCGCACATCACAAGTGCGCGGGGAGCTTAAAACAAAGATGCACATACTGACGGCCTCGTTCTTTGGCTTCCGTGCAAGCAGATCTATACCCGCCATCAAGCAAAACCGTGACCTGGCTGAGTCTCTCAAGGAAGGATCGCGTTTTGTTTTTAAGGTGCGTGTTTAAATTCAATTTTACCATCATTAGTCAACGTCTGACTGGCGGAGTAAAAGGACTGGGAAATGAAACGTGGCATATACAAGACCGGATTAATCCAGGAGGCGGTGAATGATATGTGGTTCGCAAACCGAAGCGACGAGGGTATAGTATATGCTAAATACTTCGATCCTTTACCCATTCAAACCATTGCGCTTATACTCACAGCAGTGAGTGTATTCAGTGATTCTGATGTTCGTACTGCAACTGAGGTCTGACAGATTGAATGCTGCATCGACGAGTGGATGACTGGAGTAAAGGAGGACATCAAATTTTCATCAGTTGCTTACTCCCCGGTCTACCTTCTCCATCTCAACTCCCTGCGGCGGTTCGACGAGCGGACTGCTGCTTACAAACTGCTCGGTAAAATTGGTGTCAATCTTCTCGACGTCGCTCGGTATTTTTTTATTACTTATGTCATTCATCATCCAAACTGACATTCATAAAAAGGATGCACGCTGGTGTGGATCCATTCATGGCGGCAGTGACTATTGATAGCTTCACAGATGACATTTTCGATGAAGCTATTCGAGAGCACGAAGACGAGGCTTGAGAAGCACGAGAATTCTGAAGGGGGTGGTGATTGAGGCGGCTGTATCTCGAGGATTGTATACATGCTCACGCGCTATAGCACCTTAATTGATTCGATTTTGTTGATTTCCAGTCAGTGGCCTGATCTATATTGCGGGAGCTACAGTAGCAGTGTGTAGCTACCTGTAGCTCGGACGAGCAAATACTAACACTATTCCTATAGCACCCTATAGTAATTTGTAGCACATATAGCTTTCTGTAGCACCTGTAGTTGGTTGCTACAACGAGCTACAGGAGTGGCCGTAGCACTACATAGTTCGCTGCGTGGCTATATAGCTCCACATAGTAGACACTTGACAAATCTGGCTACAGGTACTATAATGACTATATAGCACCCTGTAGTCAAAGGTTTTTTTCCTGATGCCTGTACACCAGTGAAATTTATCCAGATCCCAGAAGCAACTACAGCGATCAAGTCAGCAACGAACTGTATATTGCACCATCAACAACGACGCCAACGGCCCAATGCGAACGCAGAAACACGACTCACTGTCCAGTTGTGCTTCTCGTCTTGTTGACTGGCCCAAAGGCAGCCTAACCACAGGACATGAGATCACCATTCTATTAGCATAACAAGAGGTGAGTAATGGCGTTTAATCCTGGATGCAAAGTAAACTGCTTATACTCACATTGCCGGGCAGACAGTGAAGGTTGTCGCAGCAATCGCCGTCAGTGGTGCAACGCTGCACCCATGTGCTGCATGCACTACTAGACATGCATGCTGCCAAAGCAGTAAGGACGATGACGAAGGAGAAATGCATGGTTTGTGCGATGCGATACGAGTCTTGTGAAGGAGAATCTTGACTGATACTAATATCACTGAGGTGAGGGGTATGCTGAGCGCGGCTAGCTTTTATCGTGAAATTGATGTTGTAAGCAACTTCACGGCGAGGATGTCTAGAACTTTGCGAGTTGAACTATTAGGCTGGCAGATTGGTCGTGCCTGTTAAATGGCGGAACTTGACAAGAAGGATGTCGGAAGAATATATTACAAGTATGATTTTTCTTGAAAAAACTCTATTGGAGTACCAGGATAAACAATCCAGAATTCGAGACTGTGAGGGTGATAGGGCTTCTTCGTGCCTCTGCGAAGTTCCGTTATAGATCTCGGAGTGGCCACATCGCCAGATTGAAACTCGTCACAAGGTTGCGTCTTACAAATCTGCATGGAATGCATGCTCATTCGCTTTCTCCCATGTATTACGAAGGGTCATCACAGCACCGAGCTGGATGAGATCGGCTGTTGAATAGATACTCACCCTATGGCGCTCCCAAGTGGGAAGCATTCAAATTTATCTGCTGCGACTCATTGTCATATCCCGGATACTCACATTGCCAGAAGATATCATTCATCCCCAGATGAATCTGGCAGATACCTGTCAATAGCACCATCGATCCTTGATATATCGGTATTGTTATTCTAGGGATAAGTATGTAAATGCGGCGGCAATACACAAGAGTAGGATATCGCAGCTACGTTGGTACAACGGCATGTTGAAGGTTTGGTGGCATCGATTTCGAAATAAAGATATGAGATGGAGAGAGATGTTCGCCATCGAACTTTCTCACCGCCACCGAAGTAGTCCATCAGATGTGGGAAGATGCAACTAGCGCTAGTCGCAGACTTGGGCGCCTCGTCTACATAGCAATTCAGCAGACACAGGATGACACATGGAATGCACCTCAAAATATGCTTGAACAAGGAGTTCCTCAACCCCATTACAAACGCTCACTATTGGCTACACTTTAAACGGTGCCCCTCGTCACTGATGCTCTAGGGTCTTCTGCAAGATATCCACCTGCTTACTAACGACTTCGGATACTCACCAGGGTCTCTGGGCATTCTCCGATAGGCAACTCTTATATACACAGTGCCGAAGTCGAAGGACCGGATTCGTATAAGCAGCTATCTGGTGAGGAATGGTTTGTGCATTTATATTGACGGTAGCTGAAGATAAAGAAGATAGATCTGGTATACTCAAGACCTCCCCCACGCCGACCATGTCTTTCCCAACAAATAAGACGCCAGCAGTCACGCCCCGTCAAACGATGCGAGGCCATACCGACAGGGTGCGAGGTGTTGCGCACCTGCGTGAGGGACGACGCATCATTACATGTTCGAGGGATGGGTCACTACGACTATGGGACTTGGAGAGCGGCACACAGATAGGCGAGGACTGGCGAGATAAGGATGATAAAGAAGCAGAGGTGCACAGCATGGCATTGTCTCCAAACGGCAGGACTATCGTCAGCGGAAGTAAAGATGGGAAAGTGAAGTTGTGGGATGTTGAGATGAGAAAGGTCGTCGCAAAATGGACAGGGCACACTGAACGTGTGATGTCAGTGTGTTGGAGAGCGGATGGTAAGCGAGTGCTGAGCGGATCCTATGACGGGACAGCAAGAGTCTGGGATGTCAAGAACGAAGAAACAATCAAGACCATCAAGACCGGGCACCGGTGGGTGCACACGGCGATATACTCGCCAGATCACACACAAATTGTGACAGCAGGATACAACGAAGCTGACGAACGTATAAAAATCTGGGATGCAGAGACAAGCAAACTGCTCGCTACACTCAAACTTGATGTATTAGTCAGCCTGGCCTGGACGTCAGATGGAAAGAAACTTATCTCCGCGGGATACCTGATTAGGATATATGATACAACCACTTGGGAGCAGATCGCCATTCTGGAGGGCCACACACACTGGTTCGAAGCCATCACCTTGTTTCAGAACGACCGCCTCCTTGTGAGTGCTTCAGATGACAAAAAAATATGTCTATGGAATCTCGATACCAACCTCCCAGTCGGTCCACCCATCCAGCATGAAGGTTATTTACACTGCGCAGCCCTTTCCGCTGATGGAAAAGTGCTGGTCACCGGTAGCGACCAAAATGTATATGTATGGGACATTCACGCCATCCTCAAAGACGCTGGCCACGAGGACCTACTATCCATTCCTCCTGTGAGTCCAGGTGCCTCGTGCTTTCGAACCACGCTTATCTCTCACTTTGCAGGTCCCAACTCAAAAGTCGTTGAAGGACGTACGTGGTGTATTTCTTCACCCTGTTCAACCATTTTAAGATTGAATTATAGACTGATGCTACCAGACGTCCACCTATTCAGGCCCGTCGAATACCACCAGGTTTTTTCGACGGCACCCAGGTGAGTCGTCTACATTCTTTGACCAGCTCTTTTTCTGATCTATCTCAGTCCTCTACAGCACGTGGTACCCATACCCTCTCTCCTGCGCACAATCCTCGCAGTCCTCGCCCACCTCTGTCTGCCATTCCGCGCGCCCTTCTCGAACGCCTTTTGTCGTCCTTCCACCATTCTCATTCCGATGCCGATGGAGCAACTGAACTTCAGCAACGCCCAAGGCGCTCCATCTTTTCTCGCGGTCCTCCTATCGTCGAAGTTGCCACAGTACCAGACAAAAAGGTATTTTATTCTCATCTATTTCCAATCACAGTGGTTTGATAATTTGGTTCAGACATTATTTGTTGCTCCGCGACCGTGGCCGCAGCAGCAAAGCCCGCCGCACGCCCAGGGCTCGTCGTCGCAATCTCAGCCCACCACCACACCTGCTCAAGGTACCAGCACTGCCGTACCAGGTGCAGCAACCGCGCAGTCACCACGCATCCCATTGTGGGCTCGTTTTGTTTTGTTTATCTGTTGCGCATCTACCCCGCACGCCAATGGTCATTAATACAGGAGCAGCACATGTACAATCACCTTACTCTTTACGTCTTCCGCTCTTCCAACAATCCTGTTTCCTCGTCGTGAGACTCGTCTAATCATGCTAACAGCCATGACAAACGTCATACTCGTTCCCAAGCTTAGAGTCCTGACGTGCGACAGGTATGCAGAGCAGCAACACCTGAATACATAATGAAGGATGGAGCTGTCACTTTTTGGGTGACCCTGTCATTGCAAAATTATTTCCTTAGACTTGTTCTGTGTCGAACTTTGCAACGATGTTTGCAAGGCATGAGTATTTTGTTCCAACGTTTTTGTCAGTGGTAGAGAGCCAGTCACGGTGACATTGCAGACTCGTTTCGTTCTCTTTTGTGCCTTGCAGCTCCCCCACACGCCAATGGTCATCAACACAGGCGCACAACTATTTCACGTTAGTCTCTGGCCAGTTCTCTTCTGTACTCTTACTTTTTAGATTATGCGCGTTCAAAGTACTTGCCCCATACACGATGCGGGGTTTGAAATTAGACTTGCAAGAGAATTATCTTCCAAACGGTACGCTACTTACTAGTAACTAGTAAACACACTCGGTTATCGTTTTTTTAACTGCATCTGTGGTGCGTTCCAACACCCCGAGTCCTCCAGATTTCGGACTTCGGCTTTCTGGATTTCGAGATGCATACCACTAAATATCATCTATGAAGGACTTGCACACCGACTTGGGACATATGGTGGAGGAATGGAACACATCGCAAAGGGACGATGAAGCTTCTGGATCGTGAAAGACATGCATCCGTAGCGAAGTACTTTTATGCATTTTTAACACGTTACATTCGCATAGATTGGCGTCTGGTTCATGAGATGGATGTCGTTTAAGAATCGTTGTTGTCTTGATTAAATCATGGGACGATCAATTGGGGAGAGTAAAAGTACAATAACAGAAGATCACAGAATGTGTTCCGCATCAGTCCTGAGCGATTCTGAACTCCAAGAGCATCATTCCTACAAGATCATACGTTTGGGTGAGCACTAGACCTGCGCTGGCCCTGCAAATTATAACAAATCAAACATCGTCAATGTATCCAGGCGTGGAAGGAACTTGCCCAATGTCCTTGAATTCCTTCAAGGTTCGCTCCTTGCCATTCAAAACAAGCCACATGGCCATGTCCATTTGGTATGTTGTGTGACTACCGAAGTTCAGTAATGTAGGTTCGGGCGCCTTATGATCCTGAATGTATGATTGAACCTTAGCCATCAAGCTACACTCTAAACTTACCTCACTAGACTCGTTAGCCCCTACGTCGGGCCCTTCGAATGCGCGCGAGAGCACGCACTCATCTATCACATGATATTGAGTCTGAAGTAAACCCCACTTTGAAATGCAGCCGACTCACGAATCAATACTCGGCTGTTTGGTCCCATTGCTTTGCGAACATTATGGAGAATCACCATCGACTCCTCGTCCGGCCAGTCATGAATGATGCTCCTCAACTTTATCGATTATTGAGCAGTCCGCATTGTATGGGAACAAATTCAGCACTTACGTAGTAAACATCCTTTCCGACGACGGGCGACTCCTCCAAGAAATTCAATGGGACGAACTCTACACGCCCGTCAAGCAGTACCTCAGGAGCATTTGTCTCCCATGTCTGATCAAATATGAATATAACTTGTCTGCTGTGGATGTCCGGACTCACATTTCTTGACAGCTTTATAGTTTCTGGGAGATCCTGATTGGTTATTCTGAGATGAGGAAACATTTTCGCCAGAGGAATAGACATTGCTCCGATTCCAGATCCAACATCCACCACAGAGGATACATTGTCCCAAGGGTAATCTTATGGCCCGCTTCAGTCATGCTGATGGTTGAAAAAACAGTGATCACTCACGATGCAGCACCGCAGACAAGCCCTGGATCTCAGAATAGCCCATCATGGCTTTGTGAAATATCTGTGTATAAGATTCTGTGAGCCGTCACTCATGAGCTGGTGGATCCGCACGCACATCGCGTGCCTCATCCTGTACAATATGGTAAGGCATGAAAGGCCAGTATGACGACTAAAACTCACGTTCATCTCCCAGAAGCTGTTATTTTTGCCTTCCTTTCCGAGAGTAAATACTCGTGGGGCTCTTTCAACCTTGTCCGACCGTGCAAACTCTTGGTCGACCATAGTCTCATAGAGAACCGTAGCATATTTCGGGAATTCTCGCTGAGTTTTCATATAAAACGCGACGTTGTTTGTTTCCTTGAGCACGAGGGAGAGTCGTGTGTTTGCAAACACGTCTCGTTTAACTATGGAACACCAAAGGCTTCAGAGAGAACTATCAACGGACAGTATGATGCATATTACCTTCTTTGAAGCAACCCCTGAGGGCTAAAACTCGCAACACGCGTGCGATCTTGGTCTTATCGAGGTTGACTGCGTCAGCCAAGACATCCACGCTAAGACCTTCTGGGTGTTTGTCCAAGACGTCTGCAATACGTGATTGCACAGCGACGTCTATGCATGCCCAATTGTAATTATTGACAAACTGGGAAGATGAGCAAAAGGCGTACAGGCCATCTATAATCGGCACTTACATTATGCACCGTGCGTTGGGGGGGAGCTAATATTGTGTTCAGTTGCTCGCATGCACCTTCGAGCAGCCTGATTTCCTTTCTGAGGGCAAGTGTATCTATCGCAAGATCGAGGGGGTGGAAGGTGCCTGCATCGATGCCAGGGACTCCATGTTGAGTGTTCTTGTATTCTGCCATTGCTTTGCGTGCAGAGGAATTGATGATGTCCAAGAGGGCTTCAACCTTGAGTTCATTTGGCTCCGTCATTTTTTGGGAGTATGCGTGATTCCTCATCAGCCATTCAGGTTTTATATTCCTCGACCAAATATCATCTAGCTGCTTTTCCATGGCGAAAATATTCAATATTGAGTATGTGGAAGAAGACCGAAGCTAAACCTAGTCTGACCACTCACAAGACCTGACTTCCAACTCAGATGAAACTGCTCGTTACCTGTGTAGCGGTATCAGAGTGGTAAGAGCACACGATGCATCTAACCTGAATGTTGGCTTATCTGTATAATTACTTGAAGCAAGTACTAGATAAGCCAAGGTTCAGGTATGATGCTGGCACTCGCAGCGTGCACACTATAATCAGCAAGAGGATATCATCGACCCTGTGAGGTTTACGTCCGTATCATCAGTCAGCTACCCATAATTGTTACAAAACACCACACCGGTGACTGACCTATAGCTTATGGCGGTTCAATTTGCTACTATGACTTATTTGGAAGTCCGATGCGATCGTCTGAAATTCTCCATCAACGTTGTTTCAACTTGTTTGGCAATTCTAAAAGGCTGTCCCGAACTAGTAGGCCCGCATCAGTAACCTTGAGTTTCAACAAAGTTTGTTTCAAAGCGCTCACGAAGCGCTCATGTGAATATGCTTTTTGGTTAGCTCAGGCCAGCGTCCGTCGTTTTTGGTCAACAACGTTCTAGCTATCTTCATATTGATGCACCAGAATTCGCCAATTCGCTTTGCCACCTTTGTTTATTGTTGGAACGAACCCAAATCGAGGCGCTCCATAATGCAAGGTAAAGTACTTTTGTAAGTCATACGATCGTACGTCCACCCGACTTGTGCGACCTGCGCGGGGTGTTACAAATGCAGCGACGAGACCTTGGAATCACACCGAAGAAGCCCTCGCCGTGCAAGATGCTACAATGTCGTCAAAGGTAAGTCGTGCTTGTACTATGGCCGTCGACGTATGCTGCGCGTGGACAACCTACTGCCATTTTGCAAGCATCTGGTTTATGTCGATGGTCTCCATGTAAGATGATGACAGGTTGTACTAATACTCTGCAAGTCACGATAATAACTTGCAAAAGAAGCTAGCATGAGCATGAGCGCCTCTGTTTGGCGTCGCTCCAGCAATGATAAAAAAGCAGCTAGGTGAGTTTTTGAAATGCTGGTCCATCAATATGAAGATAGCTGTACACTCCTGACACCATTTTAAAGATATCCGACGCCACCTGCATTCTCAGAGAAGCTGACCTTGAAAACCTACTATCCATTCATCATATGGTTCCATGTATTACCGTATGCTCTTCAAAACACGCTGACTTGAATTTCCCACTCACAGGTCCCAACTCGAAAGTCGTTAGAAGTACGTGACGTATTCCTTTATCTTGTCCAACCATTTTAAGATCCGCTGCCAGATGTCTATGGAAAGCGGGAGTGATCAGCTTCGGCGAGAGTGATCAGCTGGACTACAAAGGCATTTGTTTGGCTCTTCTCCTGCCAGACCCCCAATCACCCACTGAACGCGATGAAGGATTTACCGACTACACTCATAAATGTGGCTGTGCGTACAGAATGAGGTTAAGACATTGTATTGACGTGGTGCCTAAGATCTCTTGCCTTGCAAATTTGACATGAGAAATCATTACTCGCACATAGACTTGCATCAAATGGTGATATCAAAGGCCCTTGCTTGCTTCGACGAGCCTCTAGTAGCACTAATATTTGAATCTGATGGTTCAGAAATTTAAATCCAAACCCCCCAAAAATCCACCATCATCATGTATGCTGCAGAGTTCACCACAAATGCTGACCAGCACTATTGCGAGTATGCCAACTGTTTTAGCGGTCATCCTGGCACTGTACCTGCTATCACCTATATTGAGCACAAAGATCCGAGCAAGCCCGGTAAATGGCTTTGTGAAAAATGCAGCCAATACCAGCGCTCCAAGTTCACTACCAAGAAAATGAGTGATGCAGGTAAAATAATTGCTCGGTGTGCAGACTTTGTCACATTACAGTCTGACAATAATTTTCTTTAGTAATTCCAAATACCCCGAAGCATGGTTTTGGCCAGTCTGAATATGATGGTGCTACAGTTCACAAGCAGACTGCAGAGGCGCAGCGTGGAAGTGAGTCGCCCAGTACAGTTGCATTTTATATTGAATACAAACCTTCATTTATTTTTGTAGAATCCTAACTTCCTGTTCGTGCAGTGGGGCTTAGTGTATCATGTGGGATGCCTCCACCTGCATTCATCCCAGGTCCTGTTCACCCGAGGCGCGCCTCAGCAAATCATCAATTTATTCCTTTACCCAACTGGCCTGCAGCTCCTGGCCCCTCAGACATCCGCCGTGCAAATCCATTAGGGCCCAACATATCTATTTATGGTCGGGACACTCAGTTTATTGTGTACTCAGACCTTCTTCAAACTCTGTCACTCAAGCCTGGTTATCAAGATGCGCATAAAATTTATGAAGAGATGCGACACCGGCTTGCTTGACAGGCCTATGCTTCGAGTGTTCCTGAAGTGGTATGCGTCAAGGCATACCTTGCAGTGATGATTCCACGGGCTAAAAAACCAACTCTAATATCTGTAAGTGTTGCTCTCTACAATTCCAAATCCAACTTCACCGACTTTGCTGAATCTTCTATAGGATATAGTTGAGTTGATCAGCAACATCCCTTACCGTATTGGTGCCAATGACCTTAAAACTTCGGTGTACCTCACCCTACTTCCCATGTTCATCAAGTGGTCCATGGGTCTTACTTTTATGTTTGAAGAGGCACATTTGCATCTTGTTAGTAGTTTCGAGGAGATTCTTCCCCGTCCATCTGGAGAAGACATCAATGCCATAGCATCCCACTTCCTCAAGACCAGGAACACAAAGCAGCAGTTCAACACTGGCAAGGGGATCGAACTTCACCTCATTATTCCACATACAAAGTTCCTTGCCACTGAGCAAAGGCGAAATGGTGAGGAAGTAGCTGAGTCCAAGTCTCGCAATGTTCATTTTCAACATGGACTATTGGTACCTTGCATGACTGACAGCATACATCAACCAGGATACACCTCATGCAACAGTGGCAAGTTCATCTGACATCCAACATCTTTCAAATCCTGCATTAGTACTATCTGCGGTGTCCCCATCAAAAATTTTGCAAAATGGCGTCCAATGTTTGCCTCACCCTGTCAAGCGCAAATTATCATTGGTCAGTCATTCTTTCGAACTCTAGTACCAGCCTTATGCTCATTAGCATCGCACACAGCCACATAATACAGCAACATTCACCTGTCTCAGACGGACAGCCGAGTGTGACAATGTACCATTGGGAACGGGCCATCCCATGTGGGCCCATGGACATAATTGTACCATGATATACGAGGGGGCCGGATGAATGTGTGTACCCAAGACACACGGATGGGCTGAGGGTACATTATATAGACAGTGGTATAGGAATGTATTAGTATATAGGACATTATAAATGCTAATTCCTGTTTACATTGGAGACGAGTGGGCCGGCCGGATGTGTGTACCCAAGGTAAACGGATGGGCCGACCATATGAGTGGGCTGAATGAATCTGTGTACCCGAAGCATAAGGATGGGCCAAGAGCATACAATATAGATAGTGATATAGGAATTTACTAGTATACATGACATTATTAATACCAAATCCTGTTTACGATGGAGACGAGTGGGCCGGCCGGATGTGTGTACCCAAGGTAAACGGATGGGCCGACCATATGAGTGGGCTGAGTGAATCTGTGTACCCGACACATACAGATGGACCGAGAGCATACATTATAGATAGTGATATAGGAATTTACTAGTATAAATGACATTATGAATGCTAAATCCTGTTTACGATGGAGACGAGTGGGCCAGCTGGATGTGTGTACCCAAGGTAAATGGATGGGCCGACCATATGAGTGAGCTGAATGAATCTGTGTACCCGAAGCATACGGATGGGCCAAGAGCATACAATATAGATAGTGATATAGGAATTTACTAGTATACATGACATTATTAATACCAAATCCTGTTTATGATGGAGATGAGTGGGCCGGCTGGATGTGTGTACCCAAGGTAAATGGATGGGCCGGGGGTATATAGTATAGACTGGTACAGGAATCTGCTCGAATAGTGAATCCGGTGTAAAATGGAAATGACCGAGCTGGATGAATGATATACACCGGAGATCTAGTCAGATTATCATCCGGCAGGTACATCAATATTCTCACTGGCCTATGATCCGGTATAGGCAAATATACGATCCAGTAGGTGATAATCCGGTGTATCTATGATCCGGTACAGGCAAATATACGAGCCGGTAGGTGATAATCCGGTGTATCTATGATCTGGTACATTGAGTGCTGGATCTAGGCGGTGTCGAATCATTGTTTGTGCATTGGCAACAGCAAAATTTTCGGAGCCTGGATCACTCTGAGTGATCAAAGGTACAGCTGAGATCACAAAAAAAAAATGACATGATCAATGTCTGATCAATGTGAGGGGCTTGGTGACATACCTCCGAGTTTTCGGCAACAGTCAAGGTAGTATCTAGCAATAAGGCGTGGATTCTTGTTGGTCCACCAAACTTTCAGCCAATTAATCCAGCCGGTGAATGGATCAAGGCTGATATGCAGCCATAATCCAAAGTGCAGCCATCTGTCATGCTGGTCTTGGGGCCAGACATCATTAACCCCCACACACCAAAAACGCCTCCGTTTGAGACGTCCACGATGCCTAGCTTCCACAGCAGTTGGCTCTGTGATCTTGAGAAGCTTGGCGATCAGTTCGCTGTTCAAACATCAATTTATAGTGAACAGTACTAGCAAGTAGACAGCAACTCACCGGGGTACGTGAAAGCTGAACTGCTGGCGCAGGTCTCGTCTGATGGCCTCGGCACCTCGGTGGGGAAATCATTGTCGAACCTCCCGGACATGCTGTTCAATGGACTCGAGAGTATGTTGTTGTTGCCTGGTCCGTTTCCAGCCCCAGCTATTTCACATCCGACAAAAGCTGACAATGCTAGCGTGATAAATTAGTTGAAGTAGTTGCACTGGACATATGTAAGACACGAACCTGAGGCCATATTCCTCCTGATCATAATGGTCTTTGAGGTGGTGCACAATGTCAACATTACTCATGTTTAGGGAATGACGTGGGTATACCCATGGGTATCTGTGGTGATACCCCCACCCACCAAAAACCCACACCCACACTGGTGGGTGTGGGTTTATTTGTGGGTACCAGGGATGGCTACCCATACCCACACCCATAGAGGGTATACCCATAGGTACGACATGAACGATTGGTACTACACACTTAGATATCTTAATGAATGTTGTAGTAATACTGGAGACAAATATATTGCTAGTCTCACCTTGTTGATTGGCAGTCATTTGAGAGAGATAAAGCTAAATAAAAACCCAACACCAGTAAGTCTCTGAAAAATGCAAAAATAAAAGTTGACATTATCCTTGTAATACTAGTTGAGACAAGTCTGTTGTGAGTCTTATTTTGTTAATCAGTAGTAATTTGAGCAAAATAAAAATACATATTGATGAGTTTAGCCAAACACAAGTTGTTATTATCATTATGTATCTTGGTGAAAATTGTAGTGCTATTTAAGGTGAGTCTATGGCTAGTTTATCTTATCAATTAGTTGATATATCAGTAACATATGGATTGAACACTACTGAACCAAAGTTCAAAGTTATGTTTCTATAGTCTACATATAACATGATAAATGGAATCAACATAGATGACAAAGATAGTATTATTGAAAATGAAGTTGTTGGCTATTCAACCTAGGCATACCATTCACTGAGACCACTACTAGCATGTTTGACAAAGTTGAATCACATATCACAGTGCAAAGATAATTTTTTTGCCTACATACCCACCGTGTGGGTGTGGGTAGGGGTGTGGGTATCCTAAGTGCCTACCCCCACCCATACCCCTGGGTACCCACACCCACGACCCACAGTGGGTGCTGGATACCCATGGCATTGCCTACTCATGTTGAGCTTGAAATAAAACTGAGCCAGATCTTGTATTTCCCTGGCAGGAGCTATGCTCACTCAAAAATAAGTGAAACTGGCAGTGATTCAGGCTTAACACTCATGACATGGCTTATGCTGGTTGGTGCGCCGAGAACGATCAGTCATAATGTTGGGAGCACGATCCTGCACTCGTCAACTTGAATGTTCGAGTTGTTTTGAATTCCGTCACAGATTGCGCTGTCATTGCATTAAGGTACGATCAGCACCTGAGTTACTATCTGTAACCATTGGAGGACTCAAAATTTGACAAGCAATACATCTTGAATATATCACTAGAAACATTAATATTAAGTCTCTCTCAAGCAGTGGTTGGGGGTCTGACAGGTAAAAGCCAAACAAACACGCTTAGCGAAGCTGATACGAAGCTGATCACTCCCGCTTTCCATAGATGTCCACCTATTCAAGCCCATCGAATACCACCAGGTTTTTTCGATGGCGCCCAGGTGAGTCGTCTACCTTTCTTGACCTGCTCTTTTTCTGACCTCTCTCAGTCCTCTACAACGTGTGGTACCCATACTCTTGCACATCCATCCAGAGCGAATGTCCGATTCCGTGAGGGAAATGGGCTGAACTGATTTCAAAGTGCCTCGTCTGTTGAGTTTCTGCAGAATCCAAGGTCGAGGAGCCCTTCCACGGGAATGTGATGACAGAGCAGTTGGATGGTGTCCTAGTGGATAATGGATTTGAGTTTTTATTGATTCCTATGCAACAATGTTACATGATGATGCGAAAGACGCATATGAAGCTCATCTTTGCATCTCTGACACAACAGAGTATAATGTTAGCCTTCCTCAAAAAAAAATATCGTTTCCAACAAGCATTGTGTGTAACTTGAAAAGTCCAGAGCTGTACTGCATTCAGTCGTTACAACTCACTGTCAGCAGAATTCACTTAATGCATGTGAAGGCTGAGTGGTCTGCACAAAGGCTGGAAAATGAGTGTTGTATTACTTGTTCTCGAAGAGCATCAATCGAACGGCAGTCATAGCAGTAGCCGCAGTTGATCTGGATGATTTTGATTCCCTATCTCGGATGAATATATATTTGATCAAGTCTTACTTAGAGACTTAGAGACGGCTAATATGAGAGCACTCAGTAGTATTACTCACGATAAGTTTTGAACACTTCAAAAAACTCGTTAAAGCTTCAAAAAACTCGCTAAAGTCTTTAACAAACTCGCTAAAGTCTTCAACAAACTCGGCCAGAAAGCCATCAAGACACACGGCACACGTGGCATCAGAGTGGACTTGGAAACACTTAGTCAAATTTTAAGGCATGTATACTACACAAAAATATATAGATGTAGCTAGGTATCTAATGAACGAGATATAACAAAAAAGAAATGTGTGATAGTGAGGGAAACACGAGATTCAGAATGGAGGTATGAGAGAGTGAGAGTGCGGGCGCATGAGCTGGGAGGTAGAGTTAGGGGATTCCGTTTGATCCGGCGTTCAAACACTGAATGTGTGACAGCGAGGGAGACACAAGCAGTGTAAGAGGGCGGGAGCATGTGCTAGGAGATAACGAACATGTTGGGGGATTCTGTTTGATCCGGCATTCGAACGCTGGATGCGTGACAGCGAGGGACACAACAGCAGTGTGAAGGGCGGGAACATGGACACAGGTGTGTGGGGCTGGCCCGGCCGGGAGATACAACAACAGCCGTATGAGTGCGCAGGTGCAGGCATGTGGGCTGGGAGACACAACAGCAGTAGCATGAGATCAGAGAGGGCAGGAGCACAAATGAAGAAAAATTACTCACATTTACATCCTCAACCTCCCATCCAGCGCCATTGCATACCTCCCCATTATCCACCTGTAAGATCATGCTGGAAGGGGCAAGGGGATGGTGAGATTTGAGCTACGGAATGCACGGAGGATGCAGATGCTAGCGATGACATCTGGCGCTAATCGTGGTAAAAATTTAAACTCCGATTTAAACACCGCCTAATCAGTTGGATGATGGATCTCGAGTGTACTGATAAGAAAACACCCCGTTCCAAGTCACAACCATGCCTCCTCAGTCTACACGTGAAGACCTCCTTCGTGCCATTGATCAGGCTTCATTGGCATTAGCCAACTCACAGTATTTGAATATACTCCTGGATGACCAGGGCTCCAACTCCGACTCAGACTCTAATACCGACTCGGACTTAAACTCGCTTTATACCTCAGATGAGGAAGATCTGGCTTTTGCCTCCCCATCCCCTATATCCCCCATGTCCCCTATGTCCCCTATGTCCCACCTTTCGGGCCTCAGTTCAGATATTTCCAGCCACAGTGACCAATCTGACGACTCAGATGACGCT